CCTCTCCTCCCTCCTCCCTCCTCCCTCCCCCTCCCCTCCTCGTCCCTCACCTTGTCCCTCCTCCCCTCCCTCCCTCCCTCCCTCTCTCCTCCCCCCTCGATCTCTGATTTTTTGCTTCCTCTTCTACTCTGACTGATCCCTATGCCTCCCTCGCCCCCTTTCCTCACTCGTGCTCTCGTGAGATCTTCCCTTCCTATCGCGTCGCTTTCTCGCCATGTACATCGATCTCGAGTCACGTTCACGCATCTTGACGGGACGCCCGGGCCTCTCCATCAGGCGCCAAGACATGTCCTGTCCTCTTTGTGGCACGTGCAAGGAGTGCTTGGATGCGGTGGCAGAAGGGCGCCGGGAGATAGGTGGGCGACTACGGGAGCGGAGGAAGGGGAGGAGGATGTAGTACAGTCGCTGCAGTCTGCAGGGGAAGCCAACACGAAGCGGGTGAAGGAGGGGGAAGGATGGTCCAAGGTGTTTGAGTGCCCTACTTGCGGTGAGCGATTCTCGAAATGGAAGAAGCTTCAGTTTCATCTCAAGACGCGTCAGGTCTGTTGCTCTTGTTCTCCCTGGACGTGTGACTTGTCTCAGCACATCAAGCGAGGCTCCTACCCCACTTGGAAGCTGGTACATGACCTCCTGCGGCTCCCCAGCCATCTCGATGAGCTCGATCCGAACGTGCGAAACACTTTGAGCTGCATGGCAGGGGCTGACGCCTGCCGTTAGGTTGTCGTCATGTTCAGAAACGAAGCTCGAGCCCAGCCTGAAGTGCGGGGGAGGCCTGGGGTACCGCACAGTGACTGCTGAACTCCTTCAAGTCGTGACTGCCTCTCAACAGCCATTGACGTACTACTTGTGTCCTCTTTGCGCCTACTCGTCTCGCTCATGGGCTCGCATGTGGGAGCATGTTGGAAGGTCCTGACCCTCCTTTGCCTCACATCATTTCTTCCAATGCTCTGCTCTGCTCTGCTCTGCTCTGCTCTGCTCTGCTCTGCTCTGCTCTGCTCTGCTCTGCTCTGCTCTGCTCTGCCTCCACTTGTCGCATCACTTCACCTCTTTTGTTTCTTCCTTTCCTGCCATCGTTGGAAGTTTCCTCTTGTGCTATCCTAAGTATGCCTATCTTCAATCCGCCTTCTCACTCGGCGACAGGACGGGGCACATCTCCAGACACTCGTACCGCACGCAGAAAGAACTGCAGATTCTCCTCCGACAGGGTCCAGGTGAAGAAATCACAGGTCGCCTTATTGACTCGGTGACAAGCCATCAGAGGAGAACAGGGCCGACTCCTACTCTCATGCTCAAGACGGTCCTTGAAGTCTTGTGATCGCTCGTCCTCACACTCCAGCAGCTGTCCTGCTGCGGCCTGCTGGCACTGTTCCTTTCACTATCACCTCTGAGGTGGAAGCGGAGATGGAGCATTCGAAGACTAAGGAGCACAGAAAGTCGATAGGAGTAGGAGAAGCAGAGGAAGGGGATGAGGGTGACGGGTTGACAGGCTCTTGCCGTCATGTGGGAGTGCTGTAAGGGAACGGCCCACCAGGTGACGCGAGGAGGGTCGGGCACAGTCGCTGTGCTCATTGATACCTGCAGGACTTGTGCGACACCGGGTGCTTGAAGGGGAGGGGGAGGTGGTTGGAAATCGATATGGAGCTTCACCAACGGCGGCTGGTGCGAGAGAGGAGTGAAGAGGGCGGGGCGAGGATGAGCTGTACTACAGTTCGCCGAGGATGAATACGTCATGCTAGCATGGGTGAAGCAGGTCAAATCAGGAGCCAAGGTCAGAGGTCGACAAGCAGCTGGGCTGTTGCTGATGCTGCCATGCAGCAAGGTTACTTCATCGTCAAGCGGAATCGAGCAAGAGTCCCAGGTAGCCCCGGGCTGGTCCAGGGCGAGGGATGACAGACGAGGCAGGACGAGGCGCTTCTCCGGGCTACGGCTGTCCTCACTGCGGACGCGCTTTCGACAAGGTGAGGGCGGAAGGAAAGCAGAGCAGCAGGAAGAGCTGAAGGTGGTGCTAGTTCACGCGCTTCTTGAAGCACTTCAAAGAGGAAGGATGCATGTCGGCAATGGGAAGGTCGAGCTTCATGACTCTGGAGGAAGTTCAGTACCGCGCCATGCTGGTCTCGCTGCTCCGCTGCTGCTCGCGTTCCTCACGCTCCCTCTAGGTGTCGCCGCTGAGCAAGCGAGCGCTTGTGCGACAAAATTCCATCGACGTCGCAGGATGGAACCCTGCATGGCTGGTGCTTGTGGTGTTTCAGTTGTGCTGCTGCTGAGCTACTGCAGGAGGACCTTCGCCCTCGCGTGCAGAAAGAGCAAGAGAAGCATGAGTTCGTGGAAGACCAGCCAGGCTTTCAGTTTGTCGTGTGACTTCAATGAGACTGCGAGCAGACCGTCTTGCGTCTGCTTTAAGGCTGAGAGGAGAAATGAAAATCTTCTCAAAACTTCAGAGGAATGTGACGACGGCAGAGATGTCGTCGATGGTAGCTGCACTTGAATGAGGAGTGGGAAAGGAGGAAGAGGAAGGGAGGGAGAGAGGGTGGATGATAGGAGGAGGAAGACAAGATGTTTTGCTGCTCACCCTTGGATCCTGGTCGCTCCTCCCAGATCATTCGTGAAGCATCCACCAGTACTGTCATGACCTTCACTTGCCCTCCTCGCCTTATCGCTGTAACTCCCTCGTCCATCCCCCTTCCCCTCCTCCTCCTCCTCCTTCCCAACCAACGGACCTTGAGCAGCAGTTGCAGCATCGCGATTGTTGTAGAATTGCAAGCACGTAGCGACCTGGTGGCGGTAAGTTAGTAGAGAGGCAAGAGGGCTGAGCTGGACTGGGAGCAAGGAGCAGCATCTGCGGAAAAAGAGAACCGAGTTTTGATTTCTCACCGCCGTCTGCTCATCGAGAACGTCCCACACTCCGTCAGTGGCTAAGATTAGAACCTGAAACAAGTCAGCAGCAACAAGTTCGCTGAACACCCCACCTTGTTCTTCCCAATCTTCACACACTTCAGGTCAGGCTCAGCAGTCACCCCAGCCTGTCCCCCGGTCATCCGCTAGTTTCCCATCCTCTTCGCTTGCTCTCCCCCCACTCTCCTCTCTCACTGTCTTTCTCTCTTCCTCTCTCTTGCTCCTCTGTGCTCTCTCTCACCTGCTTCGCCAAATAATCGCCGAAAGCTCTGAGAACAACAGTCGTCAATCTTCTTCAAGCTCGATTCGGCCCTGGACTTTACCTGGATGTGGCTAATCCGGGATAGGACTGACCCTGCAGTCGACTTAGGAGGAGGGGACAGGGGTAAGGAAGACCTGAAGAAAAACTCGTCCCTTGCCACTTTCTTCCACGCTTGGTTCTCCCGGGAACACAGACACCTGAGCTTACGGTCAAAGAAACACTTCTAGCTCATCACAACCCACCATCCCACCGCTGGCCTCTATGCGATTCCTGCAGGAATAGACGCTCAGCACATGCTTCAACACGATTGCAAGCTTGTGACTAGGCAGGCTCGAAGCAGACCTTTCAGTAGGATCCGCAGGGTTGTGATCGGTGGTTAGGGAGATGGAAGTGCCGTCAAGAGCTGCAGCCGCATCCTCAGGTGGAGGCGTCAAGTTCGAGATGCTCACCCGCTAGAATCGCCCGGGAGTCTCCCACTGAAGCCACAAGCAGCGAGTCCGCGTCCTGCAGGACTATCGTCGCGGTGGCTCCACTCTGACTGAGAGCTGCGACAAGTGTCAGCAGCTTGCAGCTCGAGAGGTTCATAACCTGTTGCTCCAAATGCCTCCGAGGCATCATAGTCAATCTGGTTGGTGAATGAGAACGAGACGGAGGGCTGGGGGGCATCAAGACAGCGGGAGGGGTTGGAGGAACGAGACGGAGGACGGCGATGCTGATGAGGCGAGTAGACGAGTGTGAGTCCTCACCTGAGAGAACGCGAACTTGACCCACTCCGGCAGCTGCGACCCTTGGGACCTGTGGCAGGTCAACCCTGGGAGGGCAGGAGGGCGAAGCGACCTCGTCAGCGCCTCCTTCATGCTCCTCGGAAAATTTTCAGACAGAAACTCAGCGATGATGTGTCCACTTGGTCCATGCCCATCAAAGACGCTGTACATGTTTATCCCTTGTTGGAGCGGAACGAGAGCGATAGCGGAGTCCTGCATGATGTTGGTTGCAGGCAAGGCTGGTGGTCATAACTCAACCTGATTGATCTTGGTCTTTCCCTCGCTCCTTCCTTCAGCTCTCTCTCACATCTCTACATCGCCAACAGAACCTTCTCACCTGCCACGGTTGTCCACGAGCTCGTTGCCGGCTGCCCCCTAGTGGCCTGGAGCTTGAAGCTCTCGGGAGGAAGGAAGATTTCACTCTTACGATCTCCGAGGAAGCTCCGACCAAAAGAATCTCATGCAAGAAGTCAGCGTAGCCCATGAGGAGGAGGAAATTACTGATCGCATCCCCCAGCGGCGCATTCCCACCGAACAGTTGCATCGTCATGGCGTGACGAGGAGAATTTCCCTTTCTGGTTGGCAGCGGATGGGGCAGCAGAGCGAAGGTTGGCAACGGATGGAGGAGGAGAGCGAAGGCAGAGGAGGAGGGAGGGAGGAGGAGAGCGAGGAGAACGAGCAGCAGGAGAGGAGAGGAGAGGCGAGGCGACCATGACTCATGCCTCGATCCTCTACCTGCCATGGCAGTTACAGTCCGTTACTACTTGTGGGTTGTCCGAGAAAAGGCCGAATTTGAATTTGAAAGATCATCCTCGGATCGTACTGGGTCCGGGGCCCGCCGGGTTCAGTGTGTGCCGCGCCCGGAGGCCGCTCGGAGTCACGGACTCGAACTTCGGCCCGGGCCCGCGCCGCGAAGTCCCCGTGAACTTCCGGGCCCTAGCCGGCGACAGGCCGCAGAGGCCCGGATTGGGTTTGGTGGGTCAAGCCTCCTACTCGGACTCTCATTATTGTCCTCGTACTGATTTTTAACTTAACTTTGAGTAAAGAAGACGGCCCGACCGGGCTGCTGAAACGGTTTGCGCTCTCCAGGCCGCTTTCCGAGTTCCGAAGTTCAATGAGTCCGAGGGCCGGCAGCCCGGCCGGCCCGGCCGGGGTCACCTGCCGGGCCGCCGCTGGGCTCAGTGCGGCCGCAAATGATCGGATGTCGCGGCGCAGCGTTCCGGGTTGAAGGTTCACGGCGAAGTTCCGAGTTCAGTCACAGTTGGCCCACCACGGTGGCATTCAGGTGACCGTCCGATCGGCGGTCCGGGCCGCCAGTTAGCCCCCGGCCCCCCCCCGCCGCGGCGGCGCTCCGGGCGGCGCCGGGCGGGACCCGGCGGCCGGCCCGTCGACGACTCGCGAGTCGGGCACTCACCAGCCTGAGTGAATCCGATCTCATCAGCGGATTCACGGTCAAGTTCTTCGTATGTAGTACCGGTGGAGCCTACCCACCCATGCTCAAGATGCCTCAAAGTACCGGTGATCGGCCCATAACGACATATTCTACCACCCCCCATGCCACATTCACCCCTCCAAACACTACTATGACCCCCCTCATTGAGAGTTATGGAGAGTGGGTACATGTTGGTACCCTCTATGTCAACTTACCCCACCCACCCCACTTACAGGAGGGCCATACACAACACATTTCTTTGGATGACCCACCCCATCTTCATCCCCTGACAAGTACCACGTATTCAACTTTTGGTACCCTATCATGGAAGTCCCTACCCCCTCTTATTCCTACCCCTACCCCCTCTTATTCCTACCCCTACCCCCGAATGTTCACATCCAGAACCTGCACATTCTTCACGAAGGTGTTGTACACGACAGCACACTAGCGTCGCGAACTAGAACAAGAAGCAAGGACAAGAAGCAAGGACAAGAAGCAAGGACAAGAAGCAAGGACAAGAAGCAAGGACAAGAAGCAAGGACAAGAAGCAAGGACAAGAAGCAAGGACAAGAAGCAAGGACAAGAAGCAAGGACAAGAAGCAAGGACAAGAAGCAAGGACAAGAAGCAAGGACAAGAAGCAAGGACGAGCACGAGGTCAAGGGCAAGGATATATAGATAGTCGCAGGACAAGTGCGCATGCGGCTGTCTACATAGCTGATAGTGAAAGAAAAGTTGGTGATGGTCCATTCTATTCTCAGCACTGGACATCGATTGGTACCAGCATGGACAATCAGTCTAGACAAGCTTGACAATGAAAATGAAAAAGAAAACACGGAGGGAAATGGGATCTTAAGTGCGAGAGAAGGCAGACAACAAATCTTGCTCAGAGCTCAAACAGCAAGAAGTTCAACGTCTCTTTATTCCCCCATCATGAAACATCGACGACTCTCAACGATTGAATCTTCTCCCAAACGCTCACCGCTGACTATTCGAGGAGCGATGAAGACAATGGTGACACCATCGCCCTTTAAACTGCAGGCTTGGAGGGGATCAAACACAGAAGGCATGCTCTTGAAACGTGAGCGACGAGTGTCTGTCAGAGCTATGGGCAGCCTGAGCGTTGAGGAGGAGGCGAAGACTCTCTTTCATCAGCTCGAAGATCAAAGCATGCGCAGGGAGAGTACCAGCGAGGACCCAACGGTCGAGCTCAAGAGCGTGACTGGCGATACTAGCGGTTTGCGGAGAAGAAAGAGCTCGACGAAAAGTCTTGTGAGGCTGCTGAGCAGAGGAAGTGGGAAGAATCGGATGGAGGAAGGGAACGTAGAGAAGGAGAGCACAAGAAGCTCTCTCAGCTCAAAGGAAGAGGACATGCTGAGGAAGAGAACCCGAGAAAGCCGCGCAAAGCCTTGGCAGGTTGAAAAGCACAACATTCGCAACAAAGTCAAGAAGACTATGATCGTAGCATCGGTGATACACCCTCGCCCTCCCCTTCTTCTCTCCCTTCTGACTTGAGTACGATGGGCTTCTCTCTCTTGTGCTGTCCTCACTTTGCATGTCCCTCTCTCCTCACCTCCCTGCCAGGCGTGGAAGCTCACCAAGGACTTGGAGGGTCTCAGAAACGACATCGACGAATGTAGAAAGACTCTGCTAGACGCGGACGAGCTGCTGAGGGCAAAGACGGTGAAGAAGATGCCGTGGCTTGCTTCTGTTGACTAAGTGCAGGAGGAAAAGAGTGAAGGGGTTGGGGATTTCTCCACTCCCAAAGGAAGGAAGAGTCTGTGAGTGTGATGGAGGAGTTTGAAGGAGAGAGGGTCGGGATGCAAAGAGCATGACGAGAATTTGGGGGAATATGAGGATAGAGAGTGACTGAACACATGAACAGCCCTTGCTTGACTTTCGATCGAGATCTTCATGGTAGCTCAGGCAAGAGGAGGTGGGCAGGCGTCAGAACGGTTCGTGCTTGTCAGGTCTTCTCTCAGCTCTTCTCACGTTTCCTACTCAGGTACTCCAGCTATCAAGAAGCCGCCGCCTCAAGACCAACTCTCCGCTCCTTAACTCTCCCAGCAACAAGAAGATCGTCAGGTCAGTCTCTCTCCTCCTTCCCCTCGTACTCAACTTTCTGCTCTCTCCTGCCTCAATCCTTTGCCCCTGTTTCCGTTCCCCATCATCCCCTCTTACTCTGCATGCTAGATCATCTGCATGGAGGCAGCGGCTTGACCTCTCCGCCTGTGATTCCCCCGCCGCTTCTCCCTCTCAATCTCACGGTCTCTTGCATTCTTATGCAGCGCTTGCACGTGACAATGACGCAGAGTCTTCATCCTCCCTCCTTCCCTCCTGCTCCTCCTCCTCTGTCGCCTCTTCCTGCTCTCTCCTCCTCCACAGCCCGGAACCCTCACGGCGCTACATCCCCGGGGTCGGAAAGATGTGGGTCTACACGCATCGGGGGAAGGTGGTGCAGGTGATTGGCAAGGAGTTGCCTCCGGAGCTGGTGAGAAGGACGAGCGACGAAGCTGCTGGTGACCTGCTGCCTCCTCCAGGTGATGGCGAGAGGCGAAGACAAGGGCGACAACGAGATGGAGCAAACCTGCGATGCTGCGGGTGCGAGAAGGAGGGAAGAGGATCAGAGCTGAGAGAGGAACGTGAGATTGCTTGTACATGAAAGTTTGAGGAAGATCGACACAAGCACAAGCACTGATAGCTACAACTAGCACTATGACAATGATCGCTCCTGCAGATCATTCTGATCATCTGATCATGCCGCTCTGGATGATGATCAAGATGAGGAGGGGGAGGGCGACACTGCTGCGAGTGGTGGTGATGATGGTGGTGGTGAAGATTATATAATCTCGCAGTTGAGCTGATGAGGAAAGGAGATGTTAGCGGTAACGCAGTGAGTGATGACGATACGTCGTCCTTTTTGCCAGGATAGTTTTATTTTTCAGAGGAACAAACAAGACCACTCACACAGTGATTAGAACTCAACTCTCTAGATTATCATTAAAGCAAACGCCGTCAGACGATGTTTATATGTACACATGTAGCATACTTGTACGTCTCTGGTCCCTTCACTAAAGGCTTTTGGAAGAAGTAAACGAGGGAGAGGAAGGTCAGGGCAGAACCAGACAGGGCCACTAGTCGTCGAAGGTGATCTTCTTGCCAGTGCTCTCTTGGATCGACCCCTTGTTCTTGTTTGGTGTCCCTCCAAACCCGCCTCGCCCACCTCCTCTGCCTCCGCCACGTCCTCCACCGCCACGTCCTCCTCCAAAACCTCCACGGCCACCGCCTCGTCCTCCACCTCCTCCACCGCCTGCACTGCCTGCACTGCCTGGAGGCTTGCGATCTTCCGCGAAGTCCACGCGGATTGCACGACCCGCCACGAACTCCCCGCCCTTAGCCACAGCCAAGTCAGTCGCGCTGGACTCAGCGAACTGCACGTGGCCGAAGCCCTTAAAGTCTCCGGTCTCTCGGTCCGTCGCAAAGCGAACGTTGACAACTTCGCCGCAGTCCGCGAAGAAGCTGCGGATCGTGTCCTCATCCACGTCCCATGAGAGGTTTCCCATGAAGATGGTCGTGCAACCGTCCGGCTTTGGCTTTGGCTCGCGGTTTGGCGTGAATGGTTTCTTGCCTGCGCTTCCCTCCGTGCCGTCCGCCTCCTTGACTTTGACCCATCGGCCCATCAGCTCCTGCCCATCCATAGCAACAGCCTTGGCGACAGAGTCTGCGTCCTTGAAGGTAAGGAAGCCAAAGCCTGCCGGGCGACTATCGGCATTCATGGGGAGCTCAATGTTCTCGATGGCACCACAAGACTCAAACATTTTCTTGATGTCCTTCTCAGTAGCCTTGAAGGGGAGGCCGCCCAGGAACACTCTGCGCTTGTCTCCCGCGGCACCATCCTCCTTCTTGGCCTTTTCGGGTTCCTTTCTCTTCTTAGAAGCCTCTGCCATCTCCTCGTCTTCGTCTTCGTCAGAATCCTCTTCTTTCGAGGCTTTCTTGGTTGCGACGGCACCCTTATCAGTCTTGGCTTTCTTTGCCGCAGGCTTCTCATCCTCACTCTCTTCGCTAGAGTCTGAGTCTGAAGACTCCTCTTTCTTTGCAGCTGCCTTCTTATCCGCAGGCTTCTTTTTCTTGTCAGAGTCGTCGTCGGACTCAGAGTCAGAGTCTTCCTCAGACGAGCTCTCCTCCTTGGCTTTCTTCGATGCAGCAGCCTTCTTGGCATCGGGCTTGGCCTTCGCTGGTTTCTCATCTTCTTCCTCAGAGGAATCTTCATCCGAAGACTCCTCCTTCTTGGCGGCCTTCTTGGCATCGGGCTTGGCCGCTGCCTTCTTGGGCTTCTCCTCCTCGTCAGAATCATCTGACTCTGACTCGTCTGAGCTTTCCTTCTTGGCGGCCTTCTTGGCATCGGGCTTGGCCTTTGCTGGTTTCTCATCTTCTTCCTCAGAGGAATCTTCATCCGAAGACTCCTCCTTCTTGGCGGCCTTCTTGGCATCGGGCTTGGCCGCTGCCTTCTTGGGCTTCTTCTTCTCCTCCTCATCAGAATCTGAGTCAGAGTCTTCATCCGAAGACTCCTTCTTGGCGGCCTTCTTGGCATCGGGCTTGGCCGCTGCCTTCTTGGGCTTCTCCTCCTCGTCAGAATCATCTGACTCTGACTCGTCTGAGCTTTCCTTCTTGGCGGCCTTCTTTGCATTCTTCTTCACCGGAGCTTTCTTAGCTCCCTCATCTTCCGAACTGTCATCCTCCGAGCTGCTTTCCTTGGCTTCCTTCTTGGCTGGAGCTTTCTTGGCCGCAGTCTCCTTCTTCGAGGTCACTTTTTCCTCCTCCGAGTCGGATGAGGAGTCGGAAGATGACTCTTCTTCTGACTCTTCCTTCTTGCTCTTCACGGCTTTCAGCTCCTCCTTCTTCCCGACCAGCGATTTCGACTTCTTGGTCTGCGTGGTTCCGCCCATTGCCATTGCAGTCGTGGACAAGCTAGATGCTTTGAGGTGTCTGAAACTCTATCGAGTGATCCTTAGAGTGGCGCAGGAGGCGAGCGGAAGACGCGTGGCAGGAGATGGAGGGGGAGCGATGAGAGAAGAGGAGAAGGAGCAAGGAAAGGTGAAGGGATCGGGGGACCGCACGTGCAATTCTTAGCAGTTACAACGTAACGGAGATCAAAAAGGGTGGGGGTGATTTAATAAGGGGTGGGTTCTAGAATAGAGAAAAGCCAGGGGGTGAGGGTAATATGAAATGAAGCAAGACAAGGTCTCATTCAAAGGGTCCTAGGTCGGGTGATTGGGGGGTGGGTGTCGACATCCAGGAACATCCACGAGGGGTACTCGAGTCTCCCGGGGTGATGGGGGTGATACCCGTCCAATTCAGTAGTAGGTAGGGTATGAGCTCTAGGATGCAGGGGCAGGCAAGGGAGGGGGTATGAACGAGGTGGGTAGGGGTTATTATGGGTCATTTCTAGGCCACAGGGGTCAGGGAATCAGTCAGGGAATAGAAGGGTATTTGTGTGAGAGGGTGGAAATCGAGGGGTAGTATGGGGTGGCCGGTGGTTGAATCATATTTCTAATATACCGGTGTTCAACGAAATATGAGGGGTACGTATGGACTCTGAAATTGGGATACGAAGGGGTTGCAATACTCCATCAGTGAGGTAGGGTGGTAACCCCTATGTGACAATGGGTGTCTTGAATGAGGTTCACTGGGGGTGGGTGGCTCAGAGGACCAAAAAAAAAAAAAAAACTCTCGGAGAATGCCAGTGTTGCACATGCGGGACCACCCTACCCATAGGTTGTTTCAAAACTACCCCTTGTCCAACTGATTTTTAACTTAACCGTTTGAGTAAACAAACTTGAAACCCTGCCAGCCACGGCGCTGCCTTTCTTGCCCCGGACTCCGGGAGCGGCCGGCGACCGTCGGACCCGGGGCCGGCGGCCGCACCCGCCGGGCCCGGGCCGGCATGCCATGATGCGTCACTCAGTAGTGATACTACCGTTAACTTAGTAACGGTTCCTTGAAGTCCCCCCAGCGGCTTCACTTAAAACTCAGTGACTGCCATACCAAGTCATCATGATATGTGAAGTGCCACTGTCTCCGCTCGGACTCCGGCGGAGTATACGGTCCGCTACGGTCCGGGCGGTTCGTCGGAGTCTATCCGGGCCGCTCCGGCCGCGGCCCCCGGGGCCCGGCCCGGCGGGGGGGGGGGCGCGACGCACGGACTCGGGACTCCCGAGCCTCGGAGTCCGCCACCGTACGGTACGGTCGGGAGTCGGAGTAGGCTCGCCGGATTCGGCCCGGCCGCGGGGGCCGGCCGGCCCACTGTATGATCGAGTCATGCCCGGCCAGTGCCGGGCACTGCGGCAGTCACGTTGCCAGTAGTAAAGCCTTTTGCCAGGGTACTAATGATTTTTTTTGGCCTCTGTCCACTCGGAAGCCTTAGCCCGGCTCGGCGCCAGCCGGGAAGCCTACCGTACTGTGCCGTGTCACGGGATGACCGTTCAAAGCGGCCGCCGCTGGGCGGCCGACGGGGTGTCACCCGAGACCGTGACGCGGCACTGCGGCAGGGTCACTACTGAGTACCGTGTAGTGGTGGTCACTGATCGTCCCGAGGCTGGCCCCCGGCACCCCTGGACTAGCCCAGCGGGTGACGGTCACAGTACCCGGTAGTACAGTGCCTAGGGGTGAGTACGGCACGGTCACCGTGGCACCCATGCCTTGAAAGTTGAAGAAATTACTACCAGTAAAATCTGAACTTAGTGAGGCGGCTTGCTGGCGAATTGAATATGGTAACTCAAATTTAAAAAACTTGCCTAGAAAACCATTTCGAGGAACGGATGAAGCGCCGTTCATAAAAGTGTCTAGGGGCCACGGGGAGGACGGTGACGAGATGGCTGCATACGTGGAAGAAACGATCAAGGCACAAGCCAACGTGCAGACGTTTGTGGAGCAGACAAGAAATCATGCCAGAAAGGTGCTTGAAAAGATTTACCCTGATCTTCCCAAGAAGATGGCGCAAGCCAAGAACTACGTGTCGCCCTCAACTGTCTTGCTCATTGTTCTCATCGCCGGCCTTCAACGAAACTTAGCCGCTTGGCTCATGGCCCTGCTGATTTCTGTTTGGTTGGAGTGGGGACAAACAGCAGTGATGGACAGGTCTGTGGAGCCTCTGGAGAGGAGTCTCCGTTTAACCCGACTGTGCGTGTACCTTGCAGTGGTTGCAAGCTTTAACCTCTACATTTGGTACGCAATGTTGTATGAAAGGGCAGTCGTAGCTGTCGTCATCTATGTAGGACTTCTGCTTTTGCTGGCTATTCCATTCGTCTGCTTTTTTGTGGTGTTTCGCGGAGGTGATCAGACCAACAGGAGAAGAAAAGCTTCGCTCATTGTGCAGTCTCTCTTTGTTCTTGTCACGTACCCTCTTGGACTCTATTTCGTGTATTCTGATAAACTTCTGGGGGCAGTAGCCACAGGGGTGTTATCTGCCTACACGACACTAGCATTCAGTCCTTTCTTTGATGCGCTAAGTGAACAGATCCTTGGCAAGATTGGTCCAGTTTCGATATCGATATTTGCCGCATTGCAGAAGTGCAATTTCCCAATTATAGCTCTGTTTGTACTGCATTCTATGGCAGATAACGTGGAAAAGGGCATCGTATACTTTGTTTGCCGAAAAGAGTATCCTGTTATTGTTCAGAAAGTGATGAATCGTCAAAATAACTTCACTTTCTTGCGCTCACCACGAACAATCCTGCGCGGGGGATACATTGCTTTATTCCGAGACAATGTGGATCAATTCTATTTTGTGGAGAATATTGTGAATCCCTTTCAGAGACAGACATCAAATGACGTCTGCTCGGTTTTTGCTAGTACACAGTATAACTGCATACGCAAGGAAGTTACGGTTCCAACCATGGACGTGTCATACCTCAAACGATACGACGGAAGTTGCCAGTATGTTGACACGAGAGCCCCTGGTGTAAACTTTCCCTCACAAATCTCGGAATGGTTTGCTAAGAATGTTCCCATACCTGTCTCCAAATTGAACCAGTCTTGTAAAGTGAACACGTCACTCCTATTCGATACCGTGGACAACAGGACTTGTGAAATCATTCAAGAAACTTTGACCGGGGATTGCAACCTTCTTTACGACTTCAATATACAGGCGGGTCTAGACAAAGCGACGCAGATGCTGGAATGCAATTACACTGGCGTGAGGAAATGCAGTATTCCCACCGGTCAATTCTACACCGAGTACACAAGCACTGTGGCGATATCAAATATGGCTGAGAACAGAATCTATCAGGTTACTTTTAATGATGGTGATTTCGCCGTACAGATCGCTGGGAAGGACATCAAGATCTATGCAGAATCGGAATGTGCGACTTCCATTGATCTCATGTTCATCACGTTGGCGCTCAAATTCATCCTGCCGATCTTGTTGACCTATGTTGCTTCCAAGTTGGGCCTGTCAGGCAACGAGGATGAAGCGGAGGATGCAAGCGACGCCAACCATACGGCTTCTATAGTCTTTGATAAGGGTGCCGTAGATCATCCGATTCATGACGGTGACGGAATTTTCCGTTCCTATGAGAACAAAATGTCGGTGTGAACAGGAGTAAAGTCAAAGTAATTGTTTAATTTGTTTTTCATTGATTCGCCATGTTGTTGTGGTTATCGTATGTTCGAGCGAAGATTGCGATGACGGTGGCATCCGCTGGCTAACAGCCCTGCAAAGCATCACGGTACCGCAACGGTAGGGTATTCTTGACCACAAGGATAAGTTGAGCTACAATGAATTCATGCTACGAATCTCAAACATCATCCTCAATCCACTGTCTTATCTTGTCCATGCTAAGAATACAACATACAAGATCATCCAGGCTCGTTCATGCCGCTCCATAAGCATGTACCAGGCTCGTTCATGCCGCTCCATAAGCATGTACCAGGCTCGTTCATGCCGCTCCATAAGACGTCTGGAGCGCAAGATAAACCAAGAGAAAAGTTTGAGAACTCTTGTCGGCGGAAACTACACGGACAAGTGTTGTCTAGAAAAAACAGTAAGAAGTCAAGCCAACCTCAGGCAAGATACTACTTAGTAATGAAGTCTTCAATTACAAACATGTCAAGGGTTTTCACTGCCTCCTTCTCCACTGCCAGGAATGCGGAGATGGCAGGGAGGCGTGAGAAAGATGGTGGAGCCAAGCGACAGACAAGGACAGAAGAATCAAGAGGAAGAGGAGCTCCGACCAAGCAAGTAGCTCAAGAACCTAAAACATTCCATGAAGGCAAAGTCAGGGTTGTGGACTTGCTTCATGGACCATGGAGAAGTATTGGACAGGCTCTTCAGGACAGCTTGCCAGGAGATGTCATTGCAATCAATGCTGGAACATACCATGAAAACGTTGATATCAAAATTGAGGACGTGAAGCTGGTGGGAAATCGCTGTACCGGCGAAGTGACTCTCACTTCAAGATGCAGGATATTCGCGAATGTGATCAGTGTCCGCCTTGAAAATCTTTCGTTTAAACCCAAGTCTGCAAGAGTCGAAGGAGATGATGAAACGCGACAAGAGCATGCATTGACAAGAAGAAAGATGGGTATGATTGCGATGGCATCGGACCAAAACTACCAGAATCAAGATGATTTGAACAGGAATTCTGAATTTTGTGTGATAGTTGAAGGAGGTAGGGTGACTGTGTTGGACTGCGAGTTTCAAGATTGTCATGGTGGCATCAAAGTCTGTGGAAGGCAGGCAGAAGTTCTGGTCTATCACTGCAAGTTCTTGAAGATCTCACATGCAGCCGCCATGCTGGTGAGCGGTGGAGCTCGGGCGAGGGCGCGGGGTTCTTCCTTTCGCGGGTGCGCGGATGTTGGCATTGACATCTGTGACAGTGAGTGTACGGTAGATGAGAATGAATTTGTGGAGATGGAAAGCCATGCTGTTCTGGTTGAAATGAATGGGAGGGGAAAGATCAGAAGCAATCAGTTTTTGAATGGCCGAAAGGCGTCCATTGCTGTCTGCTCTCAGGGGGATCCTATTGTATTGGACAACAAGATCGAGAATAGTCTTGCAACGGGAATCTTTGTGTTCGAAGGTGGTAAAGGCACGTTTGAGCATAACACGATTTCTGCAAGTTCCCTCGCAGGTATAGAAGTGAGAGACCATGATAGCGACCCCATGATGACTGAGAATGAGATTCACCATGGGTTGAATGGTGGTATCGTGATACACAGCTATGCCAAGGGAACCGCAAAGAAGAATAGAATTCATCACAACAAGAATGCTGGGATCACCATTTGTACGAATGCAAAATCATTCATAGTTGAGAACGAGATCTCGAATGGTCAGGGTGCCGGTGTCCTAGTACACTCCCAGGGATCTGGGGTAATCCATTCAAACTTCATCTGTTGCACGGGAAAGGCAGGTATTGAAGTCAGGCAGCAAGCTATCCCGCAGGTCATTTCGAACAAGATAGAGGAAGCTGTTGCTCAAGGGATACACGTGCACTCTCAAGGAAGTGGATGTTTCGAAGAAAACGAGATAAGCAGGTGCCAAGGTCCTCTCATGGAAGCAAGTGACGTTGGTCAAGGCTTCATCTTCAAGAACAACGCCTTAAGAGAGGCCATTTCATACGGAATCAGACTGGAGAAGATGAAGTTTGGAGAAATAAGCTTCAACCACCTGCTCAAGCCTAGTAGATCTGGGATCATGATTGAGGCTTGTGAAAATATTCTTATATCCTCGAATAAGATCACAGACAGTTGTGAACATGGCATTCAGATCACTCAAAGTAGCAAGTGCCAAGTGGTGGATAACGTGATAGTAGCTTCAGCTTTGTCTGGAATTGACGTGATGTCCTCAAGTGATCCTCAAGTTGAAAGCAATACTTTCGACCGCGTGATAGGAGCGGGAATTTGCATTCATGACGAAGGAAAAGGCGTTTACAAGCTTAACACTATCAGAGGAAATGTGAAAGCAGGAATTGTAGTCAGGAAAATGGCTGAAGCTCGACTGATGGAAAACACTGTAATTGATGGAAAAGCCACCGGAATATATGGTAACATTTTGACATGAGTTGGAGAGAGTGGAAGGTTATGATTGATTCCAGTATATGATGGCGCCAAAGCATACCTTGATAAAAATTTTGTGGAAAGGAACGGCTTTCATGGTGTTGCAGTGCAACAGAGTGGATCTGTAGTGATGAAACACTGTAAAATTAGTAGATCCGGACAGAACGGTCTGTTTGTATACGCCAAGGTGAGTGGGAGCAAATGAATTCAACTTGTTGAAACAATTGATTGTAAACAGGGAAGTATTGAGATGGAGAGATGCGATGTTGGACAGAACGGGAATGTAGGGATCGTCGTGTGTGAGGGAAGTACCGCAAAGGTCTGCTGTCTTGTGTTGCTGTTGATCCTAAACCTTTGAAATACACAGGTAAGATCTTGCAAAATACATGGACACAACTTTGAGGGAGTCTGGATTTATGACAGGGGTAATGGAATTCTGACTGACAACGATATTCGACAGAATTTAAAACCTATAAGAATAGAAGAAGTTTGTGAGGTAGAGTTGTCCGGAAACATACTTGTTTAGTTTGGTTCGGATCGCTTTGCCTCTAGTGTTGGTGTAAAATTCAGTGTGGAATAAACGAAAAATGGAGTAGGATCTTTGAAAACTCACAACTATGATGGGCCCATACTGAATCCTTCTGCTTCATTGGCCATCGCCCTGGCAATTTTAGTTTGATGGGTGGAAAGATGGTCCGAGGAGGCTCCTTGTGCTCCTTTTGCTTCGGGTCTTCAGAAATAATGAAAGAAGCTGGCGATTTGATGGAGAGATCGTCGTACTGTTCCAACAAGTCTCTTGATGACGTCACAGAATTCTGTCTTGGAGAACTACTGTGGGTTGAGTTCTGGTAGAAGCTTGAAAGGTTTGATCCTTTTGGCAAAACGTCAGCTCAATTCACACACAAAGCATAAATCATCACTGGCGGTTGGAGGAGCACTTGTAAATCCAGTTGTGCCCTGATAGCTTGAAATTTCTGAAGGAGCATATTCTCCTGTGAAGATAGGAATAGTTCGCTTTGTGATTCGATTGAGAACATATTTTGCTCGTTTCCTTTGCTTTACAAATGCTGGATGCTGCCAGTAAGGAAGCAAAAAGTCTTTTATGGGTTTCATCTTTTCTTGAATCTGCGTATCATGAATTGCAATCATAACGAGAAGGCAAAAATGCATTGAAATCACCCGATAGCCGTAGTTATGCTTGAATTCCCACTTGAATCGTTCCCAAGCCTCTTCTTTTGGGGGTGGATGAGATTTCAAAGAGGCAATTGTAGACACTGTTCGAGCTGAGTCTGGAGGTTTCTCTGTCAAAAGTTGTAGATTCGTCAGCTTTACATCGACAGCTTGTTTGCTAAAATACCTGTTGATCCATTAGCTTGATCGGATTCTACCTCATCTTGGACTTTCTTTTGTCGTTGAAATGTCACTCGGTTTTTCAAGGTATCATCAGTAATGAACCTGTTTTTCGACTTTTCGAATTCGTTCAAGGGGCTTTACATCATCGCCGTCATCACTTCGAGGAGAGTTGTCTTCGATTTGCTTGGAATATTGCACAACCTTTGAAACATATTGGATTACATGATCGATTGTAAAGCTTTGCATGTCACCTGCTTTTCAATTTCTTGCATTTTCTTCTTCCTAGCCTCGATGAGCAATTTCTCTCTCTTGATTTGTTCGTTTTTTTCTCGTTGTAGGGTCTCTTTCATCAGCCCTTGCAGGGCTCGTTTTGTACGATCTCGAGTTGCGAGGTCCATTGCTGTCTGGGCCGCCTTATTGCGAAGGTTGGGATCTGCATGGTAATCGAGCAGCAGAACTATCACTCGAACACTATCATAAACTGCCGCGTAGTGCAAAGGTGTCCATCCTGCTTTTGTACGGACATTCGCTTGAGGGTATCGCAACAACTGCAAGGATGCAATTTCTTCATCATCATTCATAGCAGCAAAGTGCAAGCAAGATTGTCCACTTTCGTCAACATCAGAAGTGTCAACACCTTTGTGCACAAATGCCTTGAAAATATCGACGTGTCCTACTTCAGCGCAAATATGATATGGGGTTTTCCCTCCTCCAGCTATAATCATTTCAAGATCATTATCCATTTCCTGGTTTTCATTTTGCATTCCTTTTTTTTGGTTCTTTTTATGAGTACTTCTCTTTTTCGATTCCATCTTCTCTCGATTCTGTGTAAGAATAAAGTTATTTTTCACTGCCGGGTTGGCTCCCTGCCGGAGAAGAAACAATACGAGATCCGAAAATCCATAGGAGCTTGCAATATGCAGAGGCGAATCTCCACGACTGTTCTTGATGGACAGAACAGTTGCCACTTTTGCTTGATCAAGGGCATCAGAAATAGCTTCCAACTTGGCTTCAAGATCTTCTTTCTCTCGGTCTGGTCCATGCTTCTCTCCACCAGTGAGAGCCTGGCAAACAACTTCTAGAGTTTTCAAGTCCCCTTTTCTAGATAGAATATGCAAAGCTGTATCCCCATTGCTGTCTCTAATATGCACGTCTGCTTTGCTGAGAACAAGAAACCTGCAAATCTCAGTCATCTCTTCCTCTGCAGCTTTGTGCAATGCGGTTTTCCCAGTACTTGGCTCAGGCATGTCGATGTTTGCACCTAGTCGCATCAAAGATATGATTCCTGACACCGTTTTATCTCTTGTCGCATTCTGACAAGCCAAGTACAGTGGACTGTAGCCGTCTGTCGAGAATTTGTTGACGTCACATCCTAGATCTCTCAAGACCATTACAATCGCATTGCAATCGTTTTTGATGGCCACATGAATAGCCGTATATCCATCTGCAGTCTTCCTGTTCATTACAGCTCTGAATTTTGCGAGTGCTCTTAGACAGCTTGAAGCTTTGTTCGGACCGATGAAATCGTTTCCAGAGGCTAGAGTAGCATGATGTATTGCAGCGTATCCGTCTAAATCCTTCAAATCAGGGCATGCTCCAGCTCGTAAGAGGTATTCAACGACTTTTCCTTGCCCATGCATGCATGCGATCATGAGGGGAGTACGGCCAAACTCATCTCTTTCATCTACTGCAGCTTGCCCTTCAAGGTTTCGCAATAGCTTCGCCAGCTCTTTGGTATCACCTGTCTTGGAACATACAAATAAGTCTTTTGTCGGGACTTTTCCGTCATCATCTTCATCATAGATGTTGAAAGTTTTGTACCGATTGTCCTTAAAGAAGTTATCCATTTGTCAAGCTCGTGTTGGGACCTAGGTTGCGAGCTTCAGCAGGTCTACCTCAGCTTGACGCGACCATTGATTCCATACCGTACAATACTTGCGGCTAACTGAAATGAATTCCTGGTCATGTGAGTCCGACCCGCGCGTGCACAGCAGACTACCGTTGTGTTGACAGTTTGATTCGACTTCACGATTGTACTGGACTGAGAAGACTGCACGATTGGACTGAGAAGATCGGACTGCACGATTGTCTGAGAAGACTTGGGTCACCGTCTTCATCTGTGTTCATGTCTTCTTCTCATCTTGGGCATATCCGGCCGCCGGCTCATAGCGGCTCATCATGCCGCCGCATGATGGTCCCAGCCATCGGTTTTTGTTGCTATCACCCTGGCTATCACCGGTACTACGGTAAACCAAACTGATAATGAGCCTAACTAAAACTAAACTGAGGAGTTTACTCAAGTGGAAAAGAAAAAGATGTACCGAAAAGGTTTAGTCAAGAGATTTCATTCTACTTTTGAAAGTCCGCCTCAATTTATGTAATAGAGAAATCATGGATTTCAGTCTTTGAGGACGTAGGTTCTAGATTGTTTCCTCGTGCTGTCAACTGCTGCTCCTTCACTCCTGCTCGCGTCCTTCTTCTCATCCCTATGCCTCCCTCGCCCCCTTTCCTCACTCGTGCTCTCGTGAGATCTTCCCTTCCCATCGCGTCGCTTTCTCGCCATGTACATCGATCTCGAGTCACGTTCACGCATCTTGACGGGACGCCCGGGCCTCTCCATCAGGCGCCAAGACATGTCCTGTCCTCTTTGTGGCACGTGCAAGGAGTGCTTGGATGCAGTGGCAGAAGGGCGACGGGAGATAGGTGGGCGACTACGGGAGCGGGAGCGGAGAAAGGGAAGGAGACAACTGTACAGGTAGTTATGTCGACCAAGACACCATCAGCAGGGGGGGTCGGGAGCGCAGCGGCGGAGGAAAGCAGCAACAAGGAAAGGGGAGAGGCAGGGGACGGAGCAGAGGCAGGGGCGGGAAAGACAGGAGTGGAGGCAGTATCGACAACGGCGTCTCCTTCAGCAGGCGGGAAGGGAGAGTCACCACGAAAGGAGGAAAAAGACAGAAAAAGCAAAACAGGGGCGTCGACAGCGAATGTCCCAACATCGAAATCATCTCCGATGAACAGCAAGCGTTTGAACGAAGATGAATGGAAAAAAGTGTTCGAATGTCCCACATGCAGAGCTCGCTTCCCCATGTGGAAGAAGCTGTCGGTTCATCTTAAAAGGCGCAAGGTTCTGGCAGCATTTCTCGATCCTTGTTCTGTCTGATGCATTCATTGGCAGCATATCCTGCGCGGGGTCGTGAAAACTTGGAAAGAGGTCAAGGAGCTGCTTCAGGTGAAGAAGAACCAGGAAACTCTTGAACCGCAGGTTTTGTTTGTCGTTGTACTTCAGGTATCTGACTTAGAGCTTGCAGATCGTTGACATGCTCAGAAACATTTATCGGATGCATGACATTGACAAGCCACCGAAGTTGACTAGGATGGATAGGGACACACGGTTGCCAAAGAAAAAGGGAAAGGTCAAGGGCCAACCTAGCAAAATTCTGGTTAAGCAGAAGTCTAAAAGCTCGGTCCGTGCAAGTTCGAAGAAAACTACTTCTCGTGCTGCAAGAAAAAGTTCTGCACCTCCCGCCTCCTCTTCAGCTGTTTCGCAGGTTCAGCCAGGGGCATGACGGAGGGTTGACAACAAGCCTTTCTTACGCTGATACTTAGTTTTGAGTGGTTTTGGGCATGCAGTCCAGTTCTTCAGCTATACAAAAAGGTTGAATCGGACGATGAACGGTTCTGTTACCTTCTGATCATGTCAAAATGCGCCAGTCGCTTGGCTTGGGCATCAGCACATCCGAGCAGTCCTGACCATCTAAAGCCACAGTCAGCCTGAGAAGATGACATCCAGATGTTGCTGGCAGCTCCTGTCCGCTGTTGATGTCGGAAGGGGAGGGTTTTACGTGCACGATCTACTGACAAATGCTGGAACGTAGGTATAGTGCATGATTCTCGTATTTGAGTTCGCTGTCAAGGCTGTAAACATTTTTTCATGCGTGTTCCGCTTCGTGCATTACAGGATACAAGAGCTTGCAAGCTTGAAACAAACCCTGAAAGGCCTTCATTTGTGCATCATACAGATTAAGTTTTTGTGACACGTCAATGTATTTGAGTGACATCCATATCGAATGTGAGAATGATTTCCTCATTTTCTTTTATCATTGTTCGTTTCCACGATTGTGAAAAACTTATTTGTCCCGAGAGATGCTTTCTCAAAACCTTCCTTCTTGCTTCCGTAGGGGAGTACTCTAGGATAACTTAGGATATCACCTTCATGCTTGCCTGAATCCCAAGTACGAATTCCGCTTTAGACTAAGATATTTTGTGAAAGGAGCTTTATACGATGACACTAGAACCTTGTACGAGTACAGACCCACCTTCAAATCAAACTTACAGCATCATAATCAATAGTGAAATCCCTATTACCACACATGAGGCTGAATAATTTCCTCAGTCAACATTCTGCATCACCTGATACTGATGATGATAAGGTTTGGTGTTTGCAGCGTTTCGATATTATCTTCGCTCCCCTGGGACTTGCTACCGCGCTCACTTGTTGTTGGCAGGTCGAAGCCGACTGCTTCGAGCTTAACTGCTGCATCTTCAACAAGGAAGAGCAATTCCTCAATTTTGATCACCGACCTGTAATTTCATTTGAAAGTAGCTGGATTGAGGAGATCGGGTGGGGAAGGCCATGGTGAACACAATTGTGATCGTCGCAAGTCAGAGGTTCAGGGTTTAGGGTTATTAAGGACAGCATCATGGTTTAGCGGCTCGTATCCGAGGACTCTGGAAACAAGATTCTCAAGAAATTTTTCCCAAAGGATTCCCAAGAAATTTTGAGAGTAGTTGGTATTATTCATTAAAGATACTTAATCTCCTCACTCTCACAATCATGCGCCTAGATAGGCTCCGTCTACCCCTCTCCATGGTTACAGCCCTGAAGATCTCAGCAAAAGGCTCCGCAACACCGTATCTCTCCGACAGCTTTCTCAGGATCTGGTGTACAGAAGTTATGTACCATAATGTCAAACCATGGCAGAATAAGAGCTTGGGACAACCAGCATACTCAATCTGCAGGTCATACGCATGCATCTCAAAATACCTAGCATACAACTCTTTGGGTACAATGATTTCATCGGGATCGAACCCGTTGCAAAGCTCCCACATTCTGTACACTGCAATGGGTGATACTTGTGGCTGTATAGGCCGTAGTCGCTGCATTGTATCGATGAACCGATGACACTGTTGTTCATACATGCTTATTTCCTCTGCTTTCCACGAAGTCTACGTTGAAATCCATCATCGGCCATTGGTTTTGCAGAGTAAAGCGATCATGTGGAAGGCTCCGTATAGATCCGAGATAAAGAGTGCTGATGAGATCCCGGTGACTGTTTCCTTCCTCCGCAATGCACAAGTGGAGAAGCTCTGGCAGGGAAGAGAGGACTTCAAGATCGATGGTCGAGCATTTGCTGCCGTACATGTAAGCATCGTGCATGATCGATCTTTCAAGATTCGAGCCAAGAGAGGACCGAGGGGCACAGGGGGCAGCTTTGCCGTCTATCGCTATCAGCTGCTGCGCCAGTCCCTGGCAGCGGTACAGCTCCAGCCGCTGGCAGGCATGCTGGTCGCTGGGCCAGGCCAGCAAGTCCACAAAGGCTTAGGTCAGAAAGGCTTCGTCGCTGTAGGGGCCAACGTCATCTGGAGACAGAGGGAGGTGGAGTGGATCGGATGGAGGGAGTACACCTGACTCTGTTCAGCGAGGACCCGAAGATCAGAGAGGCGCTCGCAGTCGAGCTGACAGCTGACAGCTTCGTGTCTAGGAACAAGCTCAAGAAGGCAGCAAGGATGCAGAAGAAGAAGGCAAGCCGCAGAGACGACAAGGAGATGAAGATCATCATCAAGTCGACGGCAGCATCTGGTCGCTTCACGAGGAAGGAGATGGAGGGGCTGTGCAACGGCGGCAACACGTCCATGGCAAGAGTCAAGAGAGTCTTGTTGGAGATCGCAAACAGGCTTGACATCAAAGTTGACGGAATTGACATGGAGGAGGATTTGAACACCAAGTCCTGGAACGGGTCGAAGCTATGCATCTTCCTCGGCTCCACGGACGATGCTCGACGCATGATGAAGGAGCTGCCCTTCTATCTCGAAGGCGCAGCAACCAAGCTCGAAGCAGTCGGCTTCGACAGGGAGCCTGAGGCAGCTGGTCAGCGGGGCACCAGCGACGCAGCGCAGCGACAGGCGGAGAGCGAGGGAGAGTGGCTGGAGTTTACAGGCCTGGAGAGGATCACAATGGAGGCAGCATCTCCGTCAAGCCAAGAGGACATGCAGCTCGTCAGCGAGCTGTCAGCAGTCATCGAAGATGCAGCTTCTCTGAACGAGACGGGGACGAGCGAGCCGATCAAGCTGGTCTTGGACAAGGCCGTTGGCAACCTCCACGACACCTTCTACTCTCCGGGGAGCCTGGAGTTCATGTCGCTGGGAGAGTGGGCGAAGACGCCAGAGGAGCAGGGAGTGGGACGCAACGTTCTCAAGGAGAAGCTAGCGGAGTGGTTGCACAGCAAGCGCTGGACTCGCGTGCAAGGACCACGGGCAACGGCAGCTGCTGAGCTTGAGCAGGAGGCGGAGAGCGACGACATAGAGCGTCGATCTCTTAGCTTCCTGTTCATAGCACTGAGTAAATTCGCAGAGATGCATGTGCTGGCCTGCTCGCTGAAGGTGGACAAGAAGGACCGACTGCGGGTGGAGATGAGGGAAGATGACGAAGAAGAGGAAGACATGGAAGAAGAGCAAGGCGAGGGCGAGGAAGAAGACGGGGCGAGCCCGTACCGAGCTTGAGCTGAGCTCAAGGTAAGGAGAGAAGGTAGGAGGCGACCGAAGGCCAAGGTGAGGAGAGGCAACTCTCCTGACTGAGGCTGAGGAAGCTGAACGGAGGAGGAGTAGGTGGCGACCGAAGGCCAAGGTGAGGAGAGGCAACTCTCCTGACTGAGGCTGAGGAAGCCAAGAGAAGACAGCAGACGTAGAAAGTAGAAAGAGACCTCAGAAACAGGGTTCGCATTGTAGGCCGTGTACTCCCAGTGCTCGCGCGCCTCTTTAGACTAGGATCAAATTGCAAAAGCCCACAAGGAGGCCGAGCAACACTAGCATTCTAATAAACTCACATAATAATAATAATAATAGGGTTTAGGGTTTAGGGTTTAGGGTTTAGGGTTTAGGGTTTAGGCCAGAGGCATGCTGCTCTGCGGCGCGTAGGAAGAGCGCAAGGGGACCGGAGGAAGCTGCGAGGAAGAGGTTCGTATAGTTCAAAAAGCTTTCTTAGCATGGTTCTTCAGTATGATGAAAATGTTCGCAACCTGCTGTATCGGAGATCATGCCAATACACGCAGGGCGAGCGCTCTGGAGGCCACGTCGAGGAGGCCGCCGACCTCGTCGAGAGGGTGAAGAACTTCGCGAAGCGGTATCCTGGTAGTAGGACAGCTCAGGCTCCTCTTCTTCTGCAAAAACTGTCAATCACTGACTTCCGTCAAACCACCGGACTTCGAACCCCCAGAGCAAATCAATCAACACCCGACCAGGGACGTAGAGATAGCTTACCCGCTGGAGCCGCCCCCAAAAAAGTAGAAAAAAAAAGACCAGATTTGCTAGGGGCTGCATATGGGTTTGTGAACGGCATGGAAGGCACGGGAGCCGCTGCTCCGACGGCTCAATCCCAGGCTTCCCAGTGGGCGGGGACTCGGAGTTTCCTACCGTCTGGGTTCCGGGCCGGCGGCCGGCGCCCGGGCCCGCGGCCCGGCCGGGACCGGCCGACTTAGACGGTGAGGCTCCAGTTTCCTTGCACCCGGGGCCGAGCCTGACTCACAGTAGTACGCTCAGTCTCTCTGACTCAGTGCGGCTTTCAAGTTCCGGGCAGTCACGTTCCTTCAAGTCCGACGGTCTGACCGTCGGACTCTGCCAGTGACGCGTTGCTCTCAGTTGGATCGAGTCCGAGGCTCAGCCTCGGACTTTGAACGTCGGCGGGCAGTCACCAGCCGCTGACTCAGCGGCCCGGCTGAGCCTACTGCCAGGCTCAAACCTGGTCGCCGTCTCACCGTACGGTACGGTCAGTGCCTTCCGACTTCCTTGAAGTCCGGCGAACTTCGGAAGTTCTACCGTACGACTCTCCTGATTGTCCTCGTACTGATTTTTAACTTAACTTTGAGTAAAGTACACCGTACTACGGTACTAGTCGTACCGTAACGGTACCCAGAACGGTACCGGGCCGTAGCCTAGCATCCGGGGAGTCCGGCGCGGCGGCCCACTCAGTCCGATCATCCCGGGCCTTTTCCCCCTCCCCCACCCTGACCGGCTTACCTTCGCGGCGCACGATGCCGCGTTACTGTCCTTGCTGCCAGGCAAGGGAGCAACTGCGATGAGATGCTGTTACCTTCACTTCCATACTTGATGGAGATGCTTGCGTTGCTCCCCCACATCTTCTTCTCTTGATCATCCACTTCCTCTATTGGCGGCTCCTCTCAGTTCACACTTGCGGCACAAAGATGACCTCCTGACTCGAATACTGCAGATCGAGATCGATCCTGGTACCGGCGACAGCACGAAATGCGTAATTTGAGTAGCTCCTTGATGCTGTTATCTGACTTTTTGTCTTGAATGTTATGCCATGGGTTGCCATGTTCTTGTTCGGAAGGCGGTAAGCTTAGCTGGAGCCGATGGAGAGTGCAAGACCTGCTCGAAGCTTAAAAAAGATCATTATGGATCTTCCATGTACTGCTACGTAAGGAACCGTTCGCTCAGGGGATGATTTGACTGACATTTGATTTTGCGATATCTTTTGTTCTGCTCGCATGGACTGCTGGTGGATCGTATAGCGAGTAAGTATTTTGATCGAAATATGCGGTCACCAGGGGATATTTCGCTGACATTTGATTTTGCGATTTCTTTTGGTTTCTGCTCGGATGGGCTGTGAATGGGGCTGCGGATAGTTTGTAAGTATCATGATCGAAATATGCGGTCAGTGGATGATTTGCTGACTATTTTATTTTGCGATATCTTTTGTTGCTGCTCGGATGGGATGTTGATGGGGCTGGATAGGGAGTAAGTATCTTGCTTGCCAAAAAAATGATGCGGTCAGGGGCTGATTTGACTGACATTTGATTTTGCGATTTCCTTTGTTTCTGCTCGGATGGACTTCTGGTGGATCGGATAGCGAGTAAGTATCTTGATCGAAATATGCGGTCCAATCAGGGGATGATTGGACTGACATGTATTTTGAAAATCTTATCGCTTTTTTGCTTGGATGGATGGAATGTTGCTGGACAGGTGGTAAGTGACGAATATTCAAGATGCACTCAGGGAACGATTGGCTGACATAATTTCGTGTATTGTTTTTCGATTTCTCATCGGATTGGTGGTTGGTTGGGCTGGCTAGGTGGTAAGTTAGAATCATGAAATATGCGGTCAGGGGACGATTTGCTGACATTTGATTTTGCGGTTTCTTTTGTTGCTGCTCGGATGGGATGTTGATGGGGCTGGATAGGAAGTAAGTATCTTGCTTGAAATGATGCGGTCAGGGGCTGATTTGACTGACATTTGATTTTGCGATATCTTTTGTTTCTGCTCGGATGGGTTTCGGGATCGGATAGTATGTAAGTATCTTACTTGCCAAAAAAATGATGCGGTCAGGGGACGATTTGCTGACATTTGATTTTGCGATTTCCTTTGTTTCTGCTCCGATGGGCTGCTGATGGGACTGGATAGGTGGTAAGTTTATTGTTGAACAATACGGTCAGGGGGTGATTTCGCTGACATTTGATTTTGCGATATCTTTTGTTTCTGCTCGGATGGGTTGCGGGATCGGATAGTATGTAAGTATCTTGTTTGAAATGATGCGGTCAGGGTATGATTTCGCTGACATTGGTTTTGTATTTCTCTGTGTTTGGTGTGGGATGGATGGGTTTTTCAATCGGATAGACGGTAAGTATCTTGATCAAAATATGCGGTCATGGAACGATTGGCTGACATGTTCTTGTGTTTTTATTGGTTTTTCATCGAATGCGCTGCTCGTGGGTCTGGATAGCCGGTAAGTGACGATTATGAACGATGCGCTCAGGGGATGTTTCGCTGACGTTGGTTTTGCGATTTCTTTTGTTCCTGCTCTGATTGGCTGTGAATGGGGCTGGATAGGATGTAAGTATCTTGATTGACATGATGCGGTCAGGGTATGATTTAGCTAACAATTAGTTTTGTTCATTTCAGTGCTGCATATGCTACTTGGACAATGAGTCTGAAGAGAGAAGGCAAGAACGCATGTGTAAGCACTGCAAGGAGCGCCGTTCTTGTATGCACCGTCTTGAGCAAGAGCTGGTATCCGCAAGGCTCAGCAGGCAGGACGCCATCGCCAAGATCGAGGAGGTCCGCAAGCACATCGACAACCTAGGGAAGCCTTTTGCCAAGAGGCTGGACCTTGTCAAGTGTCACTACATCTTCGGGAAGCAAGAGTTAGAGCCTTCTGCTGTGGATGAGATGAAGCAGCTACTGGTGGGCGGAGAGCTCGGGAGCTGCTACGACAGCAAGGAGGGCAAGCTCGACATGTCTTTGCGCACAGATAGGATGAAACGATATGTGATACGAGATCTGAGGATGAAGAGCCTCCCTGGCTGGATCTCCAAGCTCGGAATTGCATTTCAAGTCATTGACGTGTCTGGTAACCCCAGCCTCTCCCGCCTTCCCCTGGTTGAGCTGTGCAGCATGGAGTCTAGTCTGAAGAAGGTGAAGTGCGACAGCTGCGTTAGGCTGCAGCTGCCTCCGCCTGAGATCGCCAGTCAGGGAGGAGAAGCTTCGTTGACGTACCTGAAGAGCGTCAAGAAAGACAGCGAAGCAAACAAGCGGATCAATCTTATTTTGATCGGCAACGGGGAGGCGGGCAAGACGAGCGTGTTGGAAGCTCTGAGGTCCAAGGACGGAAGAGCTGGCAAGATCGATGTCGACAATAGAACGATCGGGATAGATCTGCATAGGTGGGAACCTGAAGATGCTGACGGGCTGACGTTCGACGTGATGGACTTTGGGGGGCAACAGATCTACGCCAAGACCAACCAGTACTTCATCGTGAGGCGGGCCTTGTACTTGCTGGTGTGGAGCGTGATGCCGTTATCAGACATTCAGACTGACACAGAAGTCGGGACATACGTGGACAAGCTGAAGGCGATGATCTCCACTTGGTTGCGAGCAATGCAGGCGAGAGTGCCGGGGGCGAGTGTCCTGCTGGTAGCGACGCACATTGACTTGGCCGAGCAGCTTGAGGTGAAAGATCAGTGTGAGGAGGTGAGGCGATGTGTGGAACAGGAGCTGAAGAAGATGTCGGAGGAGGAAGACGAGAACATCCTTCCGTTGCGCGTCATACGCGAAGGCGCGAGCTTCACGGTGGACTGCTTGAAGGGGGACGGAATCAAGGGACTGCGAGATTCTGTGTGCATGGCGGCGAAGGGGATGCTGTGGTGGAATGAGACCATACCTCGACCTTATCTAACTTTGCGAAAGGATGTCGAGCAACTGGCAAAGACTAAACCTTACACCAATGCAAAGCATTTCTTGTGGATGGTGAACAAAGCAGGGGTGAGCACCAACGAGGTGAAGGTGGTGACGAGCTTCCTACATGACATGGGAGTGATCAAGTACTTTGGTCATGACATGAAGGAAAATCAAGCCCAGCCAGACAAGGGCAAGTACTCAATCGAAGACACCATCTTCATCGATCCCGTGTGGATGATCGACGTGTTCAAGGGCGTGATGCGACACGATTGGCAGCACCTCCTCAACTTCTTTCGACAGGACCCGAGCAAGTCCAAGAAGACAAAGAAGCTGCTTCATCTCGGCATCGTAGACGAAGACATGTTTGAATACCTGTGGCCCCAAGAAGGCAGTGATTTCTGGGAGAGTACTAACAACACGCTGCTATCGTCCGGATTTACAAGAACCCATCTGAATGTGCAGCAGGCCGTCGCTCTCCTGCGGGGCTGCGATCTTGCGCACTTTCTTGCAGCAAGTGAAACTTCTGATGGTGAAACTTCTGAAGGCAAGCATAAAGAGTGGGAGCTTCTTTGTCCCGGCATCATCCCTCCTTTCGCACATCAGCACAGGCTAGCAGTGAAGGAGTCCCATTCTTTGTGTGTGCATGTCGAGTGCCAGTACAACATCTTCCCCGCAGGCTTCACCGACAGGCTGGTCGTGCTCTGTGCCGCTCGGCATTTCGAGGTAGACTGCAGCGGTACGATGGCGGTGATGAAGGGCTGGGGGCGAACGCTCCTGGTAAGCTGGAGTGAAGATGAAGACAAGCATACGTTGATAGCTCATGCGTCGACGAAGAAACAGATCGAAAACTTTGAAGAGGACTTGAAGCAACTGGAGGCGTTCTTCCCGGGAATGATTCGCAGGAGACGAGAAGAGAAAACCTCAGGCGAGGAGGTAGTGCAGGTTGGGATCTTCGCATATGGCGAAAAGTCAAGTAAATGTGCTAGGGATATCCAAGAGAAGATCAAATGCATCTACCGAAAAAATAGCATTCCTCTGGAACACTCTTCTGTCGTCTATGTCAGTGATGATAGCAACGCACAGCGTCCTCCTAATTGCCTTGTGAATATCTTGTGCATCTCGAATGAGAGCGAAGGGAGCAAGACTACAGAAAACAAATTCTTTCAGTTGTGGAACGAGCTGACCGCCAGCAGAGCTATGATCATTCCTGTTGTTCTCGCGGACTATCAGATCAGGAACTATGACAAGTGGTGGCCTGAGGGCATCGCTGGAATGGAGCGGTACAAGATCTTCCACAAGTACGAGGCGAATGACAAATCAATGCAGTTGCTGTACAACACGATTATTCAGAAGTTGCATCAAGGGCAAGAAAGCGACGATGACATATCGTCTGTCACTAGTCAGAATAGGCTCCTGTGCGAAGATTGCTTGCATGAAATCTCTGTATCAGGAGACGTTGGTGAGTACAACCTTCCGCAAGCTAATCAGGGAATTGACAAACAAGACGTCATGACACGTCAACAAAGATTCTTGACGTGCACAAAGGATCGTCATCACAGAGAGCTGAAGGATGTGCTAAAGTTCAACAGCTCTTGCTCCCCCTGTCCTTCCTGCTTGAAGCAAAAGAAGGTGCCACATTTCTTCCCCCGACCCACGTGCTTGACCAAGCTTGCTCGCGAGCTGACGGCTAAGATCTTCTGCCCTGGTTGTTCCAAGGACGTGAACGTCCTCGATGTCACTCCTCCGCAAGTGTTCTTGAGCTACAATTGGGGAACAAACAACTCGACGCAGGAGATGGTGAGGCAAGTGAAACGGATGATCGAAGAGGAGACAAGCTTGCAGTGTTGGTTCGATGTGGAGGGAGGGATCAATGCGGGAGAGGACCACGTAAAAAACATGGAGCTCGGAGTATCTCGTTGCGAGCTGTTCATCCTCTTCATGAGCCACAAGTACGTCAAGAGTGCAAACTGCAGGAGAGAGTACGTGCGCGCATGTGAAGCAGGGAAGTACATCATCCCGGTGTTTGTTCCGGTCCTCTTCAAAGAAGCATCAGATTCGGAGTCAGGCTGGAGGGGCGACAAGGGCAAAGAATGGTGGAAGTCGATTGCTGATGTTGAAGGCAAAGCCGCTGAAGGAAATAAGGTTGATTGGAATCATCTCAAGCACTTTCCCAAGACTTTCAACCTCTCAGCTGGAGGAGGAACAGATGAGATTCAAGTTTTAGGCGTCGAGGAGCTCGTCGCTGCTGTGCAAGCAAGAGTTTACAGGGGAGACACTGTCTTCCATGAGGTGATTCATGCTATTCTCTCTTGATGCGAATATTGCTAACGCGGATGACAGGAGGCGCAGGAGGAAGGAGAGAAACGGAGACCGAAGAAGGTGCTGGACAGAGCAGACCATTTCCTGTATGAGTTTAGACGTCTGGATCTGAATGGTAAGGACTTGTGGAAAAGTGGTTTTAGTTGACGATGGAGAAGGTGATGGAGAATTGAGTGCCGATGAACTGTTTGAGGGTCTCAGGTTTAGGATGTCACAGGATGAGGTGTCGAGGCTCTTCGATTGCATGGTAGGAAGTTTGTTCGTCCGCGTTGTGATGTTGACACGTACTGACTATGAAAGGACGCAAATGGTGATGGGAGAATTTCCATGGAAGAGTTTATTGATGCTAGAAAGAAGATGATCGAAGATACAATTTTGTGAGGTACTTAAAGTCGAACGTCAAGTCCCTTTTTCGTTTTCACAAAGCAATTCTAGTCTAAAGAGGCGCGCGAGCACTGGGAGTACACGGCCTACAATGCGAACCCTGTTTCTGAGGTCTCTTTCTACTTTCTACTTCTGCTGTCTTCTCTTGGCTTCCTCAGCCTCAGTCAGGAGAGTTGCCTCTCCTCCCCTTGGCCTTCAGTCGCCACCTACTCCTCCTCCGTTCAGCTTCCTCAGCCTCAGTCAGGAGAGTTGCCTCTCCTCACCTTGGCCTTCGGTTGCCTCCTACATCCCCTCCTTACCTTGCTTACCTTGCTGACTCGTCGGTCGCTCTCCGAGTCCCCCTCTTGTCCACCTCTTCTTCGCCGTGATTTCTTGCTTCAAGCTCCGCTCAGCTCAAGCTCGGTACGGGCTTCTTCATCATCCTCTCCATGCATCTCTGCGAATTTACTCCTTGCCTTCCTGCTGTCTCCTTCAAGCGGCACGCGAGTCCAGTGCTTGCTGTGCAACCACTCCGCTAGCTTCTCCTTGAGCGCATTGCGTCCCACTCCCTGCTCCTCTGGCGTCTTCGCCCACTCTCCCAGCGACATGAACTCCAGGCTCCCTGGAGAGTAGAAGGTGTCGTAGAGGTTGCTCGTTCGTCCCTCGGTCACGAGCTGCATGTCCTCTTGGCTTGACGGAGATGCTGCCTCCATTGTGATCCTCTCCAGGTCTGTAAACTCCAGCCATTCTCCCTCGCTCTCCTCCTGCCGCTGAGCGTCGCCAGCGCCCCGCTGACCAGCCTGAGGTCAAGCATGAGCACAGGCCGCTTCTCGAGGAAGGAGATGGAAGCGCTGTGCGGAGGAGGTAACACATCGATCACGAGAGTCAAGCGAGCCATGTTGGAGTTAGCAAGAAGAATGAACCTCAAGCTGGTCAGCGTCGAGGTCGAGGAGGATCGTGACACGCTCAGCTGGGATGGGAGCCTGATAGCTCTCTCCCTGGCGACCAAGGCAGAGGCTCGACGCATGATGGAAGGCATCCCCTTCTACTTGGAAGGGATCCTGGAAGTCAAGCTCGAAGCTGTAGGTTTCAAGCTCAGCTCTCAGCATGAGGAGGAGAGCGAGGAGCAAGCCCAAGAGTCCCAAGGGCAGCAGCAAGGCGCTGGATGGCTGGAGCTCAGCGACATCGACAGGATCACCATGGAAGCAGCGTCGCCGTCAGGGCCAGTCGATCAACAGGTCTTGCTCGACCTCTCGACGATGCTCTTGGAGACATCAGAGGAGGAGCTGCTAGCTGGCAAGCCGATCTCTCTGGAGCTAGACAAGAGTGTTGGCAAGCTGCATGACACCTTCTGCTCGCCGGGCAACGTGGAGTTCATGACGCTCGGAGCTTGGGCAGCCACGCCGACGTTGGGATCGAAGCGAAACATGTTGAAGGAAAAGCTCAGAGCTTACCTCGGCGAGCAGCGCTGGACACGGGTGCAAGGGAATAAGGCAGCGAGGAGGGGCAGCGCCTTCTCTCCAAGGGCAGCAGCGACTGATGCGCTCGAGCAGGAGGCTGAGAGCGATGACATCGAGAGTCGATCTGTAAGCCTCTTGTTTCTTGCGATCAGTAAATTTGCTGAGCACCATGGGTTGAGCTGCACGGGCAAGGTCGACAAGCTCGTCAGCGAGCTGCAGCTCGTCAGCGAGCTGTCAGCAGTCATCGAAGATGCAACTTCTTTGAACGAGGCGGGGACGAGCGAGCCGATCAAGCTGGTCTTGGACAAGGCCGTTGGCAACCTCCACGACACCTTCTACTCTCCGGGGAGCCTGGAGTTCATGTCGCTGGGAGAGTGGGCGAAGACGCCAGAGGAGCAGGGAGTGGGACGCAACGTTCTCAAGGAGAAGCTAGCGGAGTGGTTGCACAGCAAGCGCTGGACTCGCGTGCAAGGAGACAGCAAGAAGGCAAGGAGGGGCAGCGCGTTCTCGCCACGGGCAACGGCAGCTGCTGAGCTTGAGCAGGAGGCGGAGAGCGACGACATAGAGCGTCGATCTCTTAGCTTCCTGTTCATAGCACTGAGTAAATTCGCAGAGATGCATGTGCTGGCCTGCTCGCTGAAGGTGGACAAGAAGGACCGACTGCGGGTGGAGATGAGGGAAGATGACGAAGAAGAGGAAGACATGGAGGAAGAGCAAGGCGAGGGCGAGGAAGGAGACGGGACGAGCCCGTACCGAGCTTGAGCTGAGCTCAAGGCAAGGAGGGAAGGTAGGAGGCAACCGAAGGCCAAGGTTGCGACTGAAGGCCAAGGTGAGGAGAGGCAACTCTAACATTAAGCTCAGCATCGTCGGAGGCGACTTCTCATCCTACATCAGGGATTGACCGCTTGAAGAAATGGGACTACATTATCAGACAACAGACAATGGTGGCAAGGATTCGAGCGGGAGACCTCACCTTGACAGAGAAATTCATGCTCGAAATGCATGTGGGAAGAGATCTCTTAGGCAAAGCGCTTAGGCAAAGCCAAGGTTCAGTTACGCGAACAGCTATCCAAGCGATCACCTTCTCAGCACCGATCCAGACCGCGAAGAAACCTGGGGTCATGTTCAGCTTGCGTGTCGGCAGTTCCAAGATATGACTCAAAAAGCGCACAATGAAGTCATGAAGAAGATCAAGGTAAGATTGCAGCAAAGTTGGAGGAAACAAAGGTTACAGGTCAATTCATGGTGGGAAACTCCAATGCGCATCGTGATGGAAGCTGTTGTATCCATGAGGATCCGGAACCTCGGATACTCGTCGGATACTCTGCCGGATATTCCCTATATAGGCGGACGCATCTCGTGCGGACGGCCTCCTGAATTTCCCCCACTTGCATGCACAGTGAGTGTGGTGGTTGTGCGTAGTTTACCTCCTAGTAAACTTAGAGACTTCTATTTCCTGCTTCCCAATCTTCTTCATCCTTACTTTACTCGTGTCGTTGACAATCTCTGTGTTGTGTATACAACATTCTGGAAGCGAAGTGGTTGATTCATGACCTCGAAACAAGGAAGAGGAGGAAAGAAACCTCAGCCGGAAAGGAGCCCTCAACCTCGATCTAAGCAATCAGGAGCATTTCAAACAGAAATTGCTGAAGAGAGTTCTGAGGAAGAAGTCGAATGGAGCGAGCGGCTGCAGCTGCAGCAGCAGCAGCTTTCTCCGAGTCAGACCAGTGGATCTTTGACTCAAACTTATAGGGATGGAGATGTACAACGTGAAGCGCTGTCTAGCGCGGATCAACGGGCCCGAAACAAGAGGGATACTCCCTTGCGAAGTATTCTGCGATCAGAGGAGGCAACTCAGCGAGCAGCCTCCCCTGCAACATCGGTACGTCTGCCAAGCTCGGAAAATTTTTCATCCGACCCCGTCATGTCCTCGCCAGTGGCGCAGGACCGAGCTCTTCTCCTTCTTCGTCGAATGTGTGCCCTTCTGGCTGACACCATGCAGGACGAGCGTTTCCACATGCTCGCCAATGCTGCCGACGAATTTGCGACAGCCGACGCTGCTGCAACACCCGAGCTCCAGCATCTCGCACGGAACGTTACCCTGCTGTAAGATGCTAATGCTGATATCTATTCAGCTGAGGAATCAGCTAGCGCTGAATCCTCTGATCAGGAACCAGTCCTCTCCAATCGGACTCTCGTGAATGTGCTAACGAACTCCAAGAGTTTCAATGCCAGCCGCATTCCGATGTACAAAGGTTTTGCTGATCCCCGCTCTGTCGAAGAATTCCTTCGTCAGTGCAACCGCGAATTAATCGCTCAAGAGATCCCAACTCGCAAATGGGTGAAGAGCATCACGCCGTTGTTCACCAACGAAGTGATGGTGGTGGTAGAACGTAAGTACGGAAAGAGTCTCGAGGCCATCAACAAGCTTAAATGGGATGAATTTTCAACTCATCTAAGTTCGTGTCTAGCCCCGATGCGGCAAGCCAAGAATTATCAGACTCAGCTTGATCAGCTCAAGCAGCAGCCCAACGAATCCGCCTGGGCGTACTTGACTCGCGCCACGACACTCTTCGCAACGCTCGAATCGCAGGTAGGGTCAGCCATCCTGTACTTCAACGATCAGCCACTCCGGAAATTCATCAAGGGATTTTCGCATACGCCGACGCGCACGTCTATCCACACATGGTTTACGATTTATCGCAGTCAGTACGGACACGGAGAAGACATGTTCTCTCGCCTAGTCACTTTCATCACAGCTCTTCTGGACGATGGTGAACCGCTAACAGTGTCTAAGCAGCCTAACAATTCAGCTGCTGCTAACGCTGCGCAGACCTCTTCGCACACTAAGGCCAAAGCTAACGGTGGGCAGAACAAGAAGAAGTCCAACGGTAAAGAAAACCAGCGCAAGCAGAAGTCCATCCGTTGTTTTTACTGTCAAGAACCGGGTCATATCAAGCCCGACTGCGAGCAGTACAAGCGCGAAGTCGCCCTCCAGCAGGAGCGCCATGAGAAACTCATGGCAACCCAGCATGAACAGCATGTTCAGCTTTTAGCTGCTCTTCAACCGCTCGCGACGCGTGCGGGAAACGAGTAGCAGCGGTAGGCAACGAGAGGGGAGCATCACTTGCTCCTCCTGCCGCTGGTCTTTTCCCCAGCCCTCTCTTACCAGGTAGCAGCGCTTTACCTCCTCATCGGAGCTCGCTAAGCCATTTCGTGCTGCCGCCTGATCGGAACGCGTCGTGCTCAACGGCCGCGTCCCTTCCTTCGGGTCAACTACATGTTTGCCCCTGCTTAGCCCTCAGCCGTGGCGACGCCTCCGCGCCGCTTCAGCTCGCCTTACCCGATCTTATTCGGCTCCCCGTTAGCGTCAGCTCTTCCCGAGTTCATGCTCACCAGACCGTTGCCCTGCTCGATCACGGCGCGACGATCAATATCATGTCTCAGCAGCTTTTTCAGCAGCTGGGCCTCTCCGAGACTCTGCTACAGCGTGATACTCAGTTCACCGTGCAAGTTGCGGACGACCGCGAAGTGCAAACCCTCGGCGCCGTCTCGCTCGCCTATCGCATCGGCCGCTTTTCAAGCAAAGATACGTTTCATATCTTGCCACGTTGTTCTCAACCCTTGATCTTGTCCCTCCAGTGGATACATCGTCACAACGCTGTATACGTTCCGCGGACCCGAGAAGTGTTCGTCGATTCCCCCAAAGCTCGACGAGCCCCTCCGATTAGCTTGCCAGTTCAGCATCAAGTGCCCTACAAGGACTCGGTCTTAGCTGTGACAACCGTCTCGCTCACCGATGCTCACGCTCTGCGTGTCGCCAATCCTAACGAGGAATGGTTCTTGTTGCACCTGCATGTCCCAACGACAGCTTCCGCCTCGGCCTCTTCCGCCGACCCGCCAGTGGGCGCCCCCGCTCACCTTGCTCAAGCCCTCTCTGAGGAATTCGCCGACGTCCTCGTCGACGACCTGCCGCAAGGACTTCAGATCAACCGTCCCCCCCAGTTTGACGCTCACATTCAGCTCAAGCCAGGGACCTTGCCCATTAACTGCAGGCCATATCGCATCCCCCTTCATCTTGAAGGAGAACTCCAGGCTACCATCGCGTACATGCTCGAACACGACATCATCGAACCATCCAATAGTGAGTTTGCCTTTCCTGTGCTTTTCAGTCGACGCCCCAACGATCCACGCTCCCCAACTGATCCCAAAAGCTACCGCTTTTGCTGCGACCTTCGCCGCTTGAACCAAGTCGTCTTGAATCAGCCGACCGCCGCAACTCCTACCGTCGATGAGATGTTGGAAAAGATCGCCGACACCGTCCGTCAAGGCAAAGCCCGTCGCAAAACCGATGAGCAGCTATGCATCACTACGCTTGACAAGGGAAATCTTATCGCCAACGACCCATGGGTACTCCTCATTCCCACGCCGTTCCCTCGACACGCTTCGAAGTCGTCAGTCTCGACTTGCTGACCGGACTCCCACGAACTCGAGATAAGAACGATGCAATTCTTCTCTTCATTGACGAGTTCACAGGGCGAGTTTATCTCACCCCTTGCCGTAAATCGATTACTTCTGAACAAGCTGCTCAAAAATTCATCGAAACCGTGTTTCGATCCCAAGGCCTTCCTCAAGTCCTTATCAGCGACAACGCTGCCATCTTTTCGTCCAGATTCTGGAACGCGCTCTTCAAGATGCTCAACGTTCACGTGAAGCATTCGTCGCCTTTTATGCCTCAAAGCAACGGTCGACCCGAGCGTATGAACTCCGTCGTCCTCGAAGCTCTGCGTATCTACACCACGCAGTATCCTCGAGCCGATTGGGATAGGTACCTCCCCATCCTGGAGACTCACCTAAACTCAGCTGTTCGCCGTCCCATCGGTGCCAGCCCTTTCGAAGTCATGTTCGGCAAACCTATCAGGACACAACTCTCTCTGCCCTCACCTGACGATCATCAGGACGAGACCCTCGACTCCATTCGTGAAGCAACCGAAGTCAGCGCCGAAGCTGCCCGAGCTGCTCTCGAAGCTGCAGCACGAGCCACCGAAGCTCGCCTTGCGCAGGCCCGTCGTCCCTGCCGCTATCAAGTTGGAGATCTGGTTTGGCTCTCTACCGCCAACCTCAACATCCCCGACGCCGCCTCGAAGCTCAACCCTCGCTTCGTTGGTCCCTTCCGCATCCTGGAATTTGTTTCAGACAACACCGTTCGTCTCGACGTCTCTCCTCGCTTCGCATCGATCAGAAACACCGTCATCAACATCAAGTGGCTTCGTCCGCATACAGAGCGTGACCCTGCCTATCAAGATCCCCAGCGACCACCCGAACCTCTGGCCACCAGAGACGGCCTGGAATACGAGATCGAGAGCATCCTCAGCAAACGTCGTCGCGGTCGAGGTATTCAGTACCTTGTTAAGTGGACAGGCTATGATCACGTCAGTGAGAACAATTGGCTCCCTGCTCGTGAGTTGCAGAAGAAATCAGGTCTTCGCGAACTCATCCGAGCACATTCCGTGAGAGAGATGAAAACGCTTGTTCAAGTGGTAGAACGATTCTGTCGATGGAGTGGATTAGAACTGAACACGAAGAAATCTGAAATCACCAGCTTTGATTATCGGCTAAGGAGGGAGATCCCAGGAACACAAAACATCAAGTTCTTTGACAAGGAGTTTGTGAACCTACCACCGACAAAATGGTTCAAATATCTAGGGATCCGGATCAGCTTGTGGAGACCAGGAGGAAGAGGCAACAAGGCGCACACCTGCCCCTTCACGTGGGGAGAGAAAGAACACATCTTGGAGAAGACAAAAGAACTGACAAAGCTGATTGAATCATCTGCTTACTCTGCAGCCCAAAAATATTACCTGGTGAAGGTAGGCATCGTCAATATCTTTAGATACTCGGCGGTACTGGCGAGCTGGTCTTGGTCAGACTTACAAACCTTAGATACCCTCTGGACCAGAGCATTCAAAAGAGCTATGGGATTGAGCAAGAGTACAAGCAACGCTATCTTTCACCTACCTTGGGACAGAGGAGGCCTCCAACTCCCCCATCCAGCACCCATCTTGGGAAGGGCGGCGATTCGGTATCTAGAGAAAGAAACGAATAAGAAATGCAGGGTGGATGATGATATCAAAAGCAGTCTGATACACAAACTAACATCATGGTGCAACCAATGGGGGTGTCAAACAATAAACCAGTTACAACGAGAAATCAGATCGGGCAGACTCAAAGAGAACAAAGAGATAAGAGGACCGGAAAGACTCGCAATCTGGATAGCGGAAAAGATGCAGACCACCATCAGTTGGGAAATGATTGAAAGCAAGATGAAACCGGGGACAATAGCCATCTTACACGACCTGGAGGACAAGCTGCTCTCAGAAGAAAACTCCCTGCTGTCCGGAGAAAACTCCCTACCTACATCTCCTGCTCGGCAAGGCTGGGAGAGTTTTGCAAAGGCATGGAGACTACTGCCCCAAGTAGGCTTCCACTCCATGACAAGTGTCTTACCCGTCCCAGATACCGAGGGCATCTCCCTGCACCTGCCCATCCGACTCTGGCCATTCCCAAAGCAAAGGGAACAAGCAGAAGAAATCCTTGCACAATATCTGCAAGCGAATGTCATCTGGGCAAAACTCGGACATGAGCAGGCAGGAACAGGGAAGAGAAGAAGGCCAGCCAGGGAGGAGGGGAAGCCTCTAAACAAGAGAAGGAAAGGAAAAAGGGAGGCTAGCCCACATGAACTTCAGCCACACAAGAAACTAGCCAGACCGGACCAAGGGAGAGAGGAAACGAATACGAAGGCTTGTACCCGGGTAATTTTGAGGCGGTGGCTCCAACATGACCCCACCTGTTATGATGAAGGAGGGAATCAGCAAGAAAGATTCTGTTACACTACAAGCAACATACCTTTCAAAGTTCAAGGGAACATAGCCATCTTTGAGCGATCTCAAATTGAAGAAAGCAAGACCGTGGATTCACCAATAGAATGGTTGGAAGCGTCGCTGGACTCGGCTCCCTTCGCATCTGCAACAAGGGAAGAGGACGGTAATAACCGAAGAGACTGCAATCAAAGCATCCATCTGCTGCTGGAAATAGTTAATGCATTGGACGACGGCGAAACAGAAGCTACAGCATGGTGGCAACAACTCGAGGAGGTAGTATCAGAGGTTCGCCAAGAAACAACACAACCATTGGCATACGAGTTTTTACAACATCTAGCAGAGATTACAGAATGCGACATCAGTACATTTCGTAACTGGCCTACCCTACACACACATCCCCAGGCTCTGGGCAAAAAGAGAGCAAGGGAACTGCACAGAGTGGTGGTTTGGATGGACAAACAAAAGAGATTTCGTGAACAAATCCTGGATACAATACATGTCATTCTGATAGGATGGAAGAATAACATTGGTGAGATACCAGAAGGTTTTGAAATTATCAGCCGGGTCCCGAAAGGCGTTCAAATAGCTTATGCAGCAAAGTTCTGGAGGACAGGAAACCGATGCCTGACGAAAACTGTAGAGGAGTTATGGATACTAGTTAGGCACACACTCCCAACACACTTACGAGACCAGCTTCAGGACAACATCCTCCCAACGTATGAGGAGCTGTGTAACAGACGAAGGGATCAGATCCAGCCGCGCAGCAATCATCAAGGCGGAAGGCATTTCACAGCAGCTATTGAAGGAGACATCACGCAGGGCAGAAAAAACAGATCCATGCGAATAGGATATGTTCTCCAACAAAAAGAGATGACGTCAGGAGGAGGGATGAAAATCAATGGGAAGTGCAGCATCATCCGAGCGAACACAATCGCAATTGGCTTACTTCTGCAACATGTCCTTGAGGAAGGAATACAGATCAAAAGGGGAAATCAAGTCACAATAATGTACCAGTCCACACGTTTCCACCGCTTTATGACAAATACGTTGCGAATGGATACCATGCGATACGAAGACGAACTGCTGGAGGACTTACATGATCGGTTACTCACTTGCATGAAGAAACTCGAAGGGAGGGGAATCAGGATCCGACTCCAACTAGCAAAAGAATCTCAGAGACACATTCAAGAGGCCAAAGAATTGGCCAAGCAAGGAAAACAAACAGTTGCCTCGGGATGGGAGAAAGCAATCTACGATAGCCCAATGGAGTTCATCATTGCAGGAGAAGAAAATCCTACATCAGGATTCGATCGCTTGAAGAAATGGGACTACATTATCAGACAACAGACAATGGTGGCAAGGATTCGAGCGGGAGACCTCACCTTGACAGAGAAATTCATGCTCGAAATGCATGTGGGAAGAGATCTCTTAGGCAAAGCGCTAAGACAAAGCCAAGGTTCAGTTACGCGAACAGCTATCCAAGCGATAACCTTCTCAGCACCGACGAGGAAGAAGCTCTTTCAATGGGGGAAGACCAACTCACCATGCTGTCCCCACTGTCCAGACCGAGAAGAAACCTGGGGTCATGTTCAGCTTGCGTGTCGGCAGTTCCAAGATATGACTCAAAAAGCGCACAATGAAGTCATGAAGAAGATCAAGGTAAGACTGCAGCAGAGTTGGAGGAAACAAAGGTTACAGGTCAACACATGGTGGGAATCCCCAATGCACATCGTGATGGAAGCGATGGGGACATCAATGCACCGAGAAGGGCAATGGATACCAGACGGTTGCTGCTACTTTGCAAGCATCAAACGCATTGTCCTCATCGAATTTGCAAGGACATCGGAATATGACGGAGTCGAACAAACAAGTCTGGAATGCCTGAAGAAGAAATTTCAGGAAAAGGAAGAGAAATATGCCCCCCTGCGAGCAGAAATCACAGCTTTGCTACCTGACCATGAAGTGGAACAAGCGACATTCATAGCAGGAGTGAAAGGATCGATCATGGAGAGGGAATGGCATGAGAATTTCAGGATGCTAAGGATGGAGGACACGGAATGGGAAGGCATCAAGACAGCAGCAATCAAGCAACTGCTGGAGGTACAACACATGCTATGGAAGACAAGGAGGGGAAACGAGTGCACCTAGGTAGGCGCGGCTCAGGGGCAAGCCACCCACGGAGCACACGAAGGGAAGGAAAACAAGCCTGGCAGCAAGGAGGCAGGAGCGGCTCAAGGTCATGGGCCGCATGAAGGGAAACAGAGAAGGGCTAGCCAGCCCAGGAGAAGGTACAGCCTGGCCACAGCGGGCGACGGCATGTGGGGGGGGGGAGGGGCAGGAAAGGCAACGGTACTTGGCGAAACAAGAAGGGGGACCGGGACCGGAAATTGGAACGGGCCCGGAGGACATCGTTACTGAAAACAGCTAATACGGAAGCAACCAGGCCTAAGGGGCCTATAGGAAAATGGGCCAACCTCCCAAGGTTGGGAACCCCTTTAGACGGATCATTAGGCGAGAGATGAGCGAAGAGCAATAGTTCTTAGCTATGAAACTCTTGACTAAGAGTCTAATAAACTCAAATAATAATAATAATAATAGGGTTTAGGGTTTAGGGTTTAGGGTTTAGGGTTTAGGGTTTAGGGTTTAGCTGAGCTAGCAAATGGCTGAGCTAGCAATTGGAGTGGTCCAACACATCTTTGACGATCAAACCAACACATCTTTGACGTTCAAACCAATGCCACATGGCAGATGCAATGGTGCTCAGCCTTCCAACAAGAAGACAACTTCAACTGTGGAGTATTTGTTATGCTACACGCCTTATTGCTCTGCGAGACAAATCAAGAATGGCTGGCAACGATTGACACAAGGAAAAGGCTAAGACTCCCGCAAGAATGGCTGATGCAAACTAGAGCTCAACTGCTCGAAGCTCTCACCCATCTGGAACAGATGGAGGAAACTGCACAGGTAATTTTGCGATCGCTGCTGAGGGAGGAGTGGGTTCAAGAGAGCTCGACATCGACGACAAAGCCTGAGGAAGAGGTACAGCCGATCGCAATTCAGCGGCCGGCGACCTCCACGAAGCTCCAACCAAGACATTTCGGTGAGGAAATCGAGGAAAACGCACAAACAGGAGAGGAAACCTCCCAGAGAGAGAAAGAGCGGAGTGGGAAGAGGCAGAATGAGCAAAGGGGCAATGATTGGGCACAGATGCATCGAAAAAGTTCAGACCCAGGTTTCCTCATCTCACAAAATGTGAATGGTTGCAACCACTTTGTTCTCAAGCACATCCTCGCGTACTTAATCCAGTCCTTCCAACCTGGGGTCATGCTACTACAAGAGGTAAGGGTCTCGGCCCGCGACGAGAACAAATTAAGGAAGATGATCAAGGAGAACTGGGCCTGCTACAGAATCTTCCTGGGGCCTGCAAAGATCAATGCGAAGAAGGGGAAAGGAGACCTGAGGTTGGTAACTCTTTATGAGACCTAGCTCCATAAGCTTCGATTTCAACTTTTCTTCTTGTCGAACAAACATCGAGGAAATCCCTAGGAGAGTCATGGAGATGAAGGAGGTCCCCTCGGTGCCTTCGGTGCCGATGTATGTCTCGACATTCGGAGTTCTGCTTCTTGGCCTCCTCCATCTGTTGAATAAACCATGCTCTCGACTCTGAGCTCCATTCGCTCAGAGAGTCTTCAAACAGGTCGCGTCTCGCCTGCCGACATGTCGAGCGGATGGCTTCAGCGATAGCGTCGGGAGTGCATCCCCCCTCAGCTCTGCAAGCATAAGCTGTCCGACTATTCGGATAACGCTTGGTGAAGTTCTTCACCTTCTCGACGAGGTCGGCGGCTTCCTCGACGTGGCCTCCAGAGCGCTCACCCTGCGTGTATTGGCATGATCTCCGATACAGCAGGTTGCGAACGCTCTCATCATACTGTAGTACTATGCTTAGAAAGCTGTTTGAACTATACGAACCTCTTGCTCGCAGCTTCCACCGGTCCCCTTGCGCTCTCCCTACGCGCCGCAGAGCAGCATGCCTCTGTCAGGGGCCCGGTGCCTCTGTCAGGGGCCCGGTGCCTCTGTCAGGGGCCCGGTGCCTCTGTCAGGGGCCCGGTGCCTCTCAGTCTGTCAGGGGCCCGGTGCCTCTGTCAGGGGCCCGGTGCCTCTGTCAGGGGCCCGGTGCCTCTGTCAGGGGCCCGGTGCCTCTGTCAGGGGCCCGGTCCTAAACCCTAAACCCTAAACCCTAAACCCTAAATTCTCGGGAGGACAATGGTCCCTCTCTGCAGCCCAACTTGGGTTCTAGCGCGCTCACTCGTATACCTCGTGCCTTGAAGCCATGCTATTTGAAATCTGTCTTCCGCTGGTTCTAAATTTTGATTTGCCTCGGCGATTAATGCCTCCATTACGTCTTCTGAAAGGAATGCCGCCTCTCCTGAATTGAGCAGCGCCGCTGCTCCGTATTCTTTATTGTTTTCTCGTCGACTCCAGGGAATCTCCCCTATCAAGTCGAATGATTTTCTGTCTCTGTTTTTGTGGATTTTTTGCTTTGTCATTGTTTTTTTTTTTTTTCTCACCTTCTTGTCTCTGTTTGCTTGCTTCCACCACACCCTTGTCCCGACTGTCCCACCTGCCCTCTCCTCCTCCTCCTGCTTCCATTAGGCGTCAAGCGGCGCGGTTGGGGAGGAGTCAAGCGACATCTCTTCCACTTCTACCGCTTTGCTCCCTGCCTCGGGTGCATCTTCCACTCGCGCGTCTTCCATCTGTATCTCACTGCTCAAAACAAGTTTCAATTCGTTTCTATCTCCCAGCATTCCTACGAGGGAGAGCGCCGTTTCCTCCAGGAATTTATTCAAAGCAATGAAGAGAAGGTCAGTTTTCAATGGCTTCTCTTCATTTGGTGCGAAAGCGCTGTTCTTGCGCTTCGCTACCTTCCACGTATGCTTGCCTGCGATCACCCTGACTCGATCTCGCAGTCGCTTGCTCATGGCATTCTCTGCCTCGTTGGCACCCTTATCAGCCCACTCTTGCAGCGTGGGGAAGGATGCATTTCCTGGGCTCTCCGGAGCCATCTCTTGCACCGCGTCATCAAGATGGAGTTGAAGCTGCCCTTGCTGTTGCAGCTCGCTCCTACTTACGTCAGCAATAGCTTCCTTAAGTTCTTCGACGACCACGTCCGTTCCCGCATCTGGGAGGTTGGTTTCATTGATAATGGAACTGAGCTCAATCTCTTTCCACACCGTTCCTTCTGCTCTGGTCCCCGTCGCTTGTGACCTGGCCTCAGGGTTAGACTGATCGCGAGTTGCCTGAGGCGACACTTGGAGGTTCAGACTGCTCGCTGTCGTTTGGATTTCAACTGTGCCTTGCCAGCAGAGGAGCTGTGTGGGGAATTCAGCCATCATCTTTCTTGCACTACTTTCATTTCGTAGCCGGAGAATGATACCAGACCCATCCCAGATCCCCGTTTCTGGATCGCATTGGAGGTGGATCCGTTGGAGATCTTTTTCCACCTGTGGATCCCAGCAAGCAACAGCCCTCCGGATGTTTCGGATGACTTTTGCTCTGCCCGTTTCATCACTTGCGCAGATTTTTTCAATCTCATTTCGGGAGAACTTCCCTGACGGCACAGGAGAGGAGATTTGCACTGAGTACAGCATCTCTGCTCCCGTTGCCATTGCCGTGCCCTCTTGTCGCACCGCATTCTTCATATTCTTGTGCAGCGCCGTTGCTTCCATCTGCACTGAGAACCATTTCAGTATTTTGTCATTCTCTGAGACCAGTCCCAAAGTGACTCCTGCACGATCCTTTCCATGTCTATCGAATGCTTGAAGAACGATGTCCGCTGCTTCAAGGCTCGGGCACGTTGCGATCCAGTCGACCTCTCTGTTCTGGTTGACTGTTTCTATTCCTACCGCAGCGAACACCTTCTTTGGCGGCAGGTTCCTCTTGGGGGGGAGGTTCACTGTCATTCCCGCGTTTGGGATCAGATCAATGATCGCTAATCCCTGCTTCAGGCATAGCTGGCTGTAGATCTCACATATGTCACCTGTGCTCGAATCGTTGAGCATCAGGAGTTGGGCCACCTCAGCTAGGATTCCAACTCTGCCCATGTTCTCCTTCTTTGGCCGCATCTTGAACGAGATCGGTGGGTTGGCTGCTGGGTTCACTGCTAGAATCCTCCTGCCTGCCACCTTGAAGGTACCTTCTCCTTTCCAGAGTTTCTCAGCCGCCTCATTGCGGACAAATGTGATCACTGCTGGGATCTCCGCTGCCTGCACAAGGTCAGGCTTCAAGGGAGCCTTGAAGATCAGGCTCCTGCTGTCTTGCGTCTGATCTACGATCAAGCCTTGCTCTTCAAGCTTGAGGCATAAGTTTTCCACCTGTCTGGAAAAGTATGCAGGGATCCCAAGTACCTTCATGGTAATCGTCTGCACATTGGTGCCCTGATCATCATATGATCTGGCCTCCATCTGCCTTTGTCTGTCAGCTTGGAACTCTGACAGGTACCACTGCCTGACATCGTCACCCCACTGCCTGAGCCCTTTCGGATTCTCCAGTGACGAGGGTTCAGCAAAGCTGCATGTCTGACTGATGGCTTCGGCTAAGGCTTCCAAGGATATTTCTTTGGCTTTCAGAGCTTTGCTCGTCCTGCTTTTGGGGTTCTGCCTTGCGAATTCATCCAGTCTCCGCATCAGTTCGGCTGATGACGGCATCGTTGCGGCTTCCGTCTGCCGGGTAGCTGGAGGTACGGTACTGCACGATCTCGTCAGGGTTCACAATAGATATTGGCCACATGTTTCGAAGCATTCTCGATGGTTTCCCGAGCTTCCTGCGTTCCTGGCGACTCTTGCTCTACCACGCAGGGATCCCGCTGATCTGCATGCCTCAGATAAAGGGATCCTGCCTCAGATAAAGGGATCCTGCTAAACCCTAAACCCTAAACCCTAGTAGTAGTAGTAGTAGTTGAGTTTATTAGAATGCTAGGTAGTTTGCATGGTTTGTTATCACCTTGCACTATTCTAGTCTAACAGGGATCTCGTGACCTGGCAGTTCGGCCCGACTTGGCTGGCCCTTATGGCAGCCGTGCTTCTGCTCTGCTCCCTCCTCTGCTATACTTCAGTGGTCTTCCCCGGCCTCAGCCAGTGGAGTTTCCTCCGCCGGCCTTGGTCTGGGTCGTCCGTGCTTTCAACTTGTGTTGCTTCCTCGGCTCCGACACCCCTTGACGGTCTCGGCCGGCCTTCGGCCAGTGAGTGGATGAAGGATGGGTTGGTAGGTGGAATGCGTATGGGTCCCTGGGACTCACGTCCCTTCCCCGGGGCCTCGGTCCGGACCGGGCCCGAGAGCCCGGCCGGCCTCCGCCCGGCCTCCTCCTCCCGGCCCCCCTCCCCCCTCTCCCACCGGCTTACCTGCCCTTACCTTCGTTGCTTGCCCCATGTCCACCTCATTTATTTCTTCCTCCTTCCCCCCATGGGGCCAACAGCTCCGCTCCGCCTCTTGTCCACCTCTAAGACTTGACTCGAGCCTCAAGCGCGCGAGGGGCCTGCACCGGCCTCCTCCTCCACGCCCTCGCCCTCCTCAGCCTCCATGTCGACTTCCTCCCTCATCATCAGCCGCAGTCGGTCTTGCTTGTCGACCTTGCCCGTGCAGCTCAACCCATGGTTCTCAGCAAATTTACTGATCGCAAGAAACAAGAGGCTTACAGATCGACTCTCGATGTCATCGCTCTCGGCCTCCTGCTCGAGCGCATCAGTCGCTGCTGCCCTTCAAGATGGAGTTGAAGCTGCCCTTGCTGTTGCAGCTCGCTCCTACTTACGTCAGCAATAGCTTCCTTAAGTTCTTCGACGACCACGTCCGTTCCCGCATCTGGGAGGTTGGTTTCATTGATAATGGAACTGAGCTCAATCTCTTTCCACACCGTTCCTTCTGCTCTGGTCCCCCTGGCCTCAGGGTTAGACTGATCGCGAGTTGCCTGAGGCGACACTTGGAGGTTCAGACTGCTCGCTGTCGTTTGGATTTCAACTGTGCCTTGCCAGCAGAGGAGCTGTGTGGGGAATTCAGCCATCATCTTTCTTGCACTACTTTCATTTCGTAGCCGGAGAATGATACCAGACCCATCCCAGATCCCCGTTTCTGGATCGCATTGGAGGTGGATCCGTTGGAGATCTTTTTCCACCTGTGGATCCCAGCAAGCAACAGCCCTCCGGATGTTTCGGATGACTTTTGCTCTGCCCGTTTCATCACTTGCGCAGATTTTTTCAATCTCATTTCGGGAGAACTTCCCTGACGGCACAGGAGAGGAGATTTGTACCGAGTACAGCATCTCTGCTCCCGTTGCCATTGCCGTGCCCTCTTGTCGCACCGCATTCTTCATATTCTTGTGCAGCGCCGTTGCTTCCATCTGCACTGAGAACCATTTCAGTATTTTGTCATTCTCTGAGACCAGTCCCAAAGTGACTCCTGCACGATCCTTTCCATGTCTATCGAATGCTTGAAGAACGATGTCCGCTGCTTCAAGGCTCGGGCACGTTGCGATCCAGTCGACCTCTCTGTTCTGGTTGACTGTTTCTATTCCTACCGCAGCGAACACCTTCTTTGGCGGCAGGTTCCTCTTGGGGGGGAGGTTCACTGTCATTCCCGCGTTTGGGATCAGATCAATGATCGCTAATCCCTGCTTCAGGCATAGCTGGCTGTAGATCTCACATATGTCACCTGTGCTCGAATCGTTGAGCATCAGGAGTTGGGCCACCTCAGCTAGGATTCCAACTCTGCCCATGTTCTCCTTCTTTGGCCGCATCTTGAACGAGATCGGTGGGTTGGCTGCTGGGTTCACTGCTAGAATCCTCCTGCCTGCCACCTTGAAGGTACCATCTCCTTTCCAGAGTTTCTCAGCCGCCTCATTGCGGACAAATGTGATCACTGCTGGGATCTCCGCTGCCTGCACAAGGTCAGGCTTCAAGGGAGCCTTGAAGATCAGGCTCCTGCTGTCTTGCGTCTGATCGACGATCAAGCCTTGCTCTTCAAGCTTGAGGCATAAGTTTTCCACCTGTCTGGAAAAGTATGCAGGGATCCCAAGTACCTTCATGGTAATCGTCTGCACATTGGTGCCCTGATCATCATATGATCTGGCCTCCATCTGCCTTTGTCTGTCAGCTTGGAACTCTGACAGGTACCACTGCCTGACATCGTCACCCCACTGCCTGAACCCTTTCGGATTCTCCAGTGACGAGGGTTCAGCAAAGCTGCATGTCTGACTGATGGCTTCGGCTAAGGCTTCCAAGGAAATTTCTTTGGCTTTCAGAGCTTTGCTCGTCCTGCTTTTGGGGTTCTGCCTTGCGAATTCATCCAGTCTCCGCATCAGTTCGGCTGATGACGGCATCGTTGCGGCTTCCGTCTGCCTCTTGAGGTAGCTGGAGGTACGGTACTGCACGATCTCGTCAGGGTTCACAATAGATATTGGCCACATGTTTCGAAGCATTCTCGATGGTTTCCCGAGCTTCCTGCGTTCCTGGCGACTCTTGCTCTACCACGCAGGGATCCCGCTGATCTGCATGCCTCAGATAAAGGGATCCTGCCTCAGATAAAGGGATCCTGCTAAACCCTAAACCCTAAACCCTATTATTATTATTATGTGAGTTTATTAGAATGCTAGAATGTTGCTCGGCCTCGTTGTGGGCTTATGCAATTTGATCCTAGTCTAAAGAGGCGCTCGAGCACTGGGAGTACACGGCCTACAATGCGAACCCTGCTTCTGAGGCGTCTTTCTACTCTCTACTTCTGCTGTCTTCTCTTGGCTTCCTCAGCCTCAGTCAGGAGAGTTGCCTCTCCTCACCTTGGCCTTCGGTCACCACCTACTCTACCTCCATTCAGCTTCCTCAGCCTCAGTCAGAAGAGTTGCCTCTCCTCACCTTGGCCTTCGGTCGCCACCTACTCGTCCTCCATTCAGCTTCCTCAGCTTCAGTCAGGAGAGTTGCCTCTCCTCACCTTGGCCTTCGGTCGCCTCCTACCTTCTCTCCTTACCTTGGGCTCAGCTCAAGCTCGGTACGGGCTCGCCCCGTCTTCTTCCTCGCCCTCGCCTTGCTCTTCCTCCATGTCTTCCTCTTCTTCGTCATCTTCCCTCATCTCCACTCGCAGTCGGTCCTTCTTGTCCACCTTCAGCGAGCAGGCCAGCACATGCATCTCTGCGAATTTACTCAGTGCTATGAACAGGAGGCTAAGAGATCGACGCTCTATGTCGTCGCTCTCCGCCTCCTGCTCAAGCTCAGCAGCTGCCGTTGCCCGTGGCGAGAACGCGCTGCCCCTCCTTGCCTTCTTGCTCTCTCCTTGCACGCGAGTCCAGCGCTTGCTCTGCAGCCACTTCCCCAGCTTCTCCTTGAGAACGTTGCGCCCAACTCCCTGCTCCTCTGGCATCTTCGCCCACTCTCCCAGCGACATGAACTCCAGGCTCCCCGGAGAGTAGAACGTGTCGTGGAGGTTGCCAACGGCCTTGTCCAGGACCAGCTTGATCGGCTCGCTCGTCCCTGCCTCGTTCAAAGAAGCTGCATCTTCGATGACTGCTGACAGCTCGCTGACGAGCTGCATGTCCTCTTGGCTTGACGGAGATGCTGCCTCCATTGTGATCCTCTCCAGGTCTGTAAACTCCAGCCACTCTCCCTCGCTCTCCTCCTGTCGCTGCGCTGCGTCGCTGGTGCCCCGCTGACCAGCCGCCTCAGAGTCAGGCTCCTTGTCGAAGCCGACTGCTTCGAGCTTGGTTGCTGCGCCTTCGAGATAGAAGGGCAGCTCCTTCATCATGCGTCGAGCATCCTCCGTGGAGCCGAGGAGGATGCATAGCTTGGACCCGTTCCAGGACTTGGTGTTCAAATCCTCCTCCATGTCGATGCCTTCAACGTTGATCTCGAGCCTGTTAGCGATCTCCAACAGGACTCTCTTGACTCTTGCGATAGACGTGTTGCCGCCGTTGCACAGCCCCTCCATCTCCTTCCTCGTGAAGCGACCAGATGCCGCCGTCGACTTGATGATGATCTTGATCTCCTTGCCGTCCTTGCCGCCTGCCTTCTTCTGCATCCTTGATGCCTTCTTCAACTTATTTCTGGACACAAAGCGATCAGCTGTCAACTCGACTGCGAGCGCCTCTCTGATCTTCGGGTCCTCGCTGAACAGAGTCAGGTGTACTCCCTCCATCGCTTCGCTCTCTCGGAAAGCTCGAAATGCTGTATCATTCGCCTCTGGGCAGCTCGAGGAGACGATCCACTCCACCTCCCTCTGTCTCCAGATGACGTTGGCCCCTACAGCGATGAAGCCTTTCTGACCTAAGCCTTTGTGGACTTGCTGTCCTGGCGCCCCAGCGACCAGCATGCCTGCCAGCGGCTGGAGTTGGACCGCTGCAAGGGACTGGCGCAGCAGCTGATAGCGATAGACGGCAGCTATCTCAGCCGTTGTCATGCCGCCCAAGGTTAGCAGGTGAGTCAGCTCTGCCAAGCTGCCCCCTTTGCCCCAGGGTCCTCTCTTGGCTCGAATCTTGAAAGATCTATCGTGCACGATGCTCACATGTACAGCTGTGAACTTGCGACCATCGATCGCGAAGTCCTCTCTTCCCTGCCAGAGCTTCTCCGCTTGTGCATTGCGGAGGAAGGAAACAGTCACCGGGATCTCCTCAGCACTCGCTATCTCGGGTCTATACGGAGCCTTCCACATGATTGCTTTACTCTCTTGCACTGAGTCTACGATCAGTCCGATCTCTTCAAATTTCTTCTTCAGCTTTTCTTCATGGTTGACATACACCGAGGAGATGCCCAGGAGAGTCATGGAGATGAAGGAAGTCACCTCGTTGCCTGCTGAGGCGGTGTATGTCTCGACCTTCTCCTTCTTGGCTTCTTCAATCTGCTGCATAAACCACTCTCTGGATGCGTCACTCCATCCAGTCATCGCTTCTTGCAGAAGCTCACGTCGTGCCTGCTGACATGTCGAGCGGATGGCTTCTGCGATAGCGTCGGGGGTGCATCCCTCCACAGCCTTGCAAGCCTGGGCTGTCCTGCTGTTCGGATAACGCTTCGCGAAGCTCTTCACCCTCTCGACGAGATCAGCTTCGAGGACAGAGGCATCCACAAGTCCGCTCTGCGTGTATTGGCATGATCTCCGATACAGCAGGTTGCGAACATTTTCATCATACTGAAGAACCATACTTAGAAAGCTATTTGAAGTATACAAACCTCTCGCTTGCAGCTTCCTTGGCGCCCTGGCAGCTTCCCCTACACCACGCGTGCAGCCATGGTGCCTGAAATAACCCCTAAACCCTAAACCCTAAAACTCGCAACGCTCGAGAGTGTGACCCACCCTACGCGACAACGAGGTTTGGAATGGAAATAATGGCCCGGGGTCAAAGGCGTGGCGATTCAAACCCAAATCAGCCACCCCACTCGAGTACAAGACTCTAGCTCAGGTGGGTGCTGTTTGACCACGCGTTCGAATCCTAACGGTAATCGAAGAGATTGCTTTTCAGCGTCAATTCCACTACCAGAATGCCCAAGACTTTTATGATTCTCGCCCACTCCTCAGAAATCAGACTACCTACCCTGACATGATCTCTTGTGAAACATACCGGTGGTGTAGAGGTGATAGTCGAGGGAGCACTGCCAGCCCACGGGAATTGCTGACATTGACAGTACAAACTTAGTACGGAGGGGGAAAGGGGATCCTGATACAAAAATCCTTGAACCCGGTAAAACTCAATTATACCTCGGTACAAACAGGCAAGCCTGGTACAAACAAATCCAGTCGAGAACCCAATGGAATGATATGAGAGTTTCCTGTGTGCGGAAAGGTCCGCAAGGAATTTCTCGAATCTCTCGTCTGCTTTTGCGGTGATAGATGAGGGGGAATATCCTCTCCGCATTGGTATTGTTGTGTTGGTTCTTGCTGCATTAAAGTCTCCGGCTATGATGTGTGTCTCTCTCGTTTCCAGAGCGAGGTGTAGCAGCTCGGCCCATAGTTCCCCTTGCTCTCGGATTGCATTCTCCGCAGGTACCTGATGGAGGTTCGTGATCAAGAAAGAATTTTTCCCTGTTCCGACTTTGATCGAAAACACTCGATTTCGGTATTTCTTTTCTTTGTTGCACGCATGGGCAGGGAGAGTAAGGCCATCATGTGGAAAGCACCTTACAGACCTGAGATAGCACGAGCAGACGACATCTCAGTCACCGTCTCCTTCCTTCGGAATGAAGCAGCCATGGAGCTATGGGAAGGCAGGAGAGAATACTGCATAGATGGCAGATCGTTTCGAGCCACAGAGGTGAGCATTGCACACGACCGGTCGTTCAAGCTTCGAGCCAAGCGAGGACCTTGGGGCAAGGGAGGGAGCCTTGCCGAGCTATCACAGCTCTTAGCTCTTGGAGGAATGTTCGCTCAGATCTATCGATTTCAGCTGCTCTCGCAATCTCTTGCAGCCGCAGAGGTACAACCGCTTGCGGGCATGCTCGTGCAGGGTCCTGGGCAGAGAGGTCGCAAGGGGCCGAGCCCGAAGACGTATGTTGCTGTTGGGGCAAGTACTGGAACTCTCCAGCAAAAAGAGCTGGAGTGGGTGCTCAGCTCGCCTTCGACGGCAAGTTGCGAGCAGACCTTGGCCTCGTTCAGAGAGAGCGAGGCGATGGAGGGGGTACATCTCACTCTCATCAGCGACGACGCCAAGCTCAGAGAGACGTTTGCAGTCGAGCTCACAGCCGACACCTTCGTGCCGAGGGGAAAGATCGCTAAGCAAAGGAGGGCACTTCGCGAGAGAGATCATGCGGGGCGCAGCAGCTTCAGAGTACAGATCAAGTCGAGGTCAAGCATGAGCACAGGCCGCTTCTCGAGGAAGGAGATGGAAGCGCTGTGCGGAGGAGGTAACACATCGATCACGAGAGTCAAGCGAGCCATGTTGGAGTTAGCAAGAAGGATAGGCGTGACGCCGGTCAGCGTCGAGGTCGAGGAGGATCGTGACACGCTCAGCTGGGATGGGAGCCTGATAGCTCTCTCCCTGGCGACCAAGGCAGAGGCTCGACGCTTGATGGAAGACATGCCCTTCTACTTGGAAGGGATCCTGGAAGTCAAGCTCGAAGCGGTGGGGTTCAAGCTCAACGGGCCTCAGCATGAGGAAGAGAGGAGCCCGAGCAGCGAGGAGCAAGCCCAAGAGCCCCAAGCCGGGCAGCAGCAAGGCGCTGGATGGCTGGAGCTCAGCGACATCGACAGGATCACCATGGAAGCAGCGTCGCCGTCAGGGCCAGTCGATCAACAGGTCTTGCTCGACCTCTCGACGATGCTCTTGGAGACATCAGAGGAGGAGCTGCTAGCTGGCAAGCCGATCTCTCTGGAGCTAGACAAGAGTGTTGGCAAGCTGCATGACACCTTCTGCTCGCCGGGCAACGTGGAGTTCATGACGCTCGGAGCTTGGGCAGCCACGCTGACGCTGGGATCGAAGCGAAACATGTTGAAAGAAAAGCTCAGAGCGTACCTCGGCGAGCAGCGCTGGACACGGGTGCAAGGAACAAGGCAGCGAGGAGGGGCAGCGCCTTCT